TCTGTGTAAACATGTTTGACCTCCATTGACTGTTAGAGGGTGCTTGATGGGTATTCTTGCTTCCTAATGAGCATGGGTTTGGATTCCTATCAAGCGTCAAATGAGATGTAGTTCTGCTGCAGGTGCATTATTGCACTTCACTCTGAAGCCTGCAGAGACAATGAAGACAAGATCCTATCTTCTCTGAAGTAAGAGTAAAGCTGGAACAGGTTGTGTACACACAATCAACAATTTTGGAAGGCACTGCTTTGTGTATTGAGTGTCAAAATGTGATGTTTTGTATGTGCCATGTCTTTCAGAGGTCATTTGAGTTGATTTTGAAGAAAACTGCCTTTTTGAACATATCTGATACATAAGGTATTAGAGATTATAGTATGATTTGCTTGGCGTATAAAAAACCTGATAAAAATGGTGGCTTTTCATCTTCAGAGATGGTATTACTATGACTAGATGTTAATCCAATTTATCTTTAAAACCTGTGTTAAACAAAATATAGGCTGGAATGGAGGCAAACAGGATAAGAACTTACAGTCTGAAATAAAATTAGAAACAAACTCTGTAACAACAAATTCCACTATTATGTAAAATAATATAATATATAATGCACCAATTAAAAAATCTTACTGTTTTCACATGTCTCCAAGGAGAATGTTAAAACAGAGGTAAAGAAAAGAGCATAAGAAGCTAGAGGGTTATTGGCCCTGGGCCTTGGACTCTTCATCTATAAAATGGGGATATAGTAGTATACTTCATAAAATTGTTGTGAAGTTTAAATGGGGTACTACATGTACTTATATTGGTGCCAGGCTCATATTAAGCACAGAGTAATCAGTGATTATCATATTAAGCACAGAGTTATCAATAATTATTCTAGTCACTCTTCCTACTAATATGTGCCAGGCATTATTAATTTATAATTCTTTTAGAACTGCAAGGTATTAGTTTTCTCATTGAACATATGGGTAAAATGAGGCACAGAGAAGTTATGTAGCCTGCCCAGCATCACAAATGACTGGTAAATGACTGAATTGAAGTTTGGATCTGGATTAGTCTGACTCTAAAACCTATGGTCTTCCCACTGTCCCACCAATGATAGTGTGGGGTAGTGACATGGCCATTTGGCCTTAGACAAATCAATCTCTCTAAGGCTCCATTTTCTTAACTATGGAAGGGAAATGGCAATGTATCTAAATCACAGGATTGGATGAAATTAAATAAGAAACTATTTAAAACACTTAGCACAGTGCCTAGCATACTTAATATTTGTTGGGTACTGGAAGATTTCTATGATGGAAAGGATTCATTCCCTCTCAGGGGAGAAGGTCAACTTTGACTGATGGATCTGGAAGCCATTACTTAGGGACTAGTAACAAATGGCTCCGGCTAGCAGGCGCATAGTGTGTCCAGGAAGCAGCCCCTGGAGGAGAGGCTGGAGGCAGGTGGCATCTGGTGTTCGGAAGCAGCTCCATCTAAGCATGATCCTAAACTGTGAGGAGCTTCTACCTGGCAGATGTTACTGTTCCTCTTCCTCCTGTCAGACCTTCTGTCACGGTGTTTCTGAGCTACTGAATGCCAGAAGATTCCCTAGCCCCAGGACTGGCTGGTTCTCTTCCTTCTGTGCCAGCATCTGCATAGGCATGTTTGGGGGCAGCTGGCAACATGGGCATCTTTTCAGAGAAATGACTGTTGTAGCTGTTGCTTATGGGGCTGGGTATTTTTCTTGGGACCTGTGAGGGGGAACTCGGGATGTGAAACCAGTGGGAGGAGGGACCAGGTTGACACAGGAGCTGGATGAGCAGGAATGGGTGTGGAGGGGGAGCAGATTGAACAGGCAAGATGAGCAGGAGCTGTGAACTCCCACATTTTCCATTTTCCCCACACCCTAATCTTCCCACGAGGGCCAGACAAGAACAAGGTCAAACTGGTGGCTGCAACTAGGACAAATGATTCTGCTCTGTGGAGTTTGTTTGGAAGACACAAGAAAAAAATGTTGGAATGCACACCCAGAGAAATACTGTGTATGCCAGATATGTCCACATCCATTATATTTCATTTGATCCTTATGACAATCTTGGGCAGGCGTTCATTCTCCTTTTTAAAAGAAGATCAAACTGAGAAGCAGAGAGGCTAAACAAGTTGCTCAAGGTCACAGTAAGTGGCAGAACCAGATATGAAAACTCAGCCTCTTTTGGCCTAAGTCTGATGTCCTTTTCCCTATTTTGCCATGGCCCTAGATTAGATTTAACCACCCCCCCCCAGATGCTATCCATGTAGTTTTTGCTTGAATTACTTTCCTGATTCCTACAAAGAGGTGCTTGGTACAGGCAGCAAAAAGAGCTGCTTAAGATGAGCTATGATGAGCAGAGACTGCTGTGAGAATGAATGAAGGATCCTGCAGGACCTGAAGGAGCAACCCATTAACCACTGCGCCTCCTCCCCCACTGAGCATGTGACCCTGCAGTCCCTTCCCCCAACTGCTTGTGAGTGCAGTCTGCTTCGCAGCTGCTTTCTGTGTTTCCTCTTCTACCCTGTTGTTTCCTCTTTCCCTCCTTACAACGCAAACTGGTGTGTACCTCACTGGCTTGGGTGGAGCTGTCTGACTCAGGCTTCAGAGATTGATCGGAAAGGCAGCAAGGAGTTTGGAATAGTCTATATGCTTGGCTAAGGCCTTATTTCTTCAGTTGAAATAAACCAGTTGGGTGCTAAGGTTGAAGCTGGGCAGTCCCAGAAGACCAGCAAAATCAAGGTCAGACACCAGGGTTTGTGCCCCTGAAGCCCAGGATTCCCCCATCTGGTCGTTGTGAGGTTGGAATGTGTTGAGGGCTGGTGTTCCTGCTCTCCTTTAATAGTCTCTGCCATGATCATCCCTCTCATCCCCTGGGTCCTTTGTGCTCAGTGAGTCAAGGTGAAGCCTCCAGAGGACCTAACAGGGAAGGCCTCATCTTACCTCCCTGGGAGGGACCACGCTCTGCCTTCATCACCACACTCCCGTATGTGCTGTTCACACAGCCTTGCTTCAGAAGAAAATGGAACTTAAACCTGCTGGCCACCCTGCCAAGCCCCACGAATTTGGATTCTTGCTCAGCTACCCAGATTGTCAAAATGAAATGAAGCCGTGCCTTTTCATTCTGTCTGAGCACATAGGATTCCTCTACTCAGCTTTCTCCTCAAGCAAGCCATCTAGCCTATACTTTCCTCTTTCCTAAAAAAAAATATTCATCTTATCCACTAGTTTCATCTAGAAAGCTTTGGGTTTCCACAGCTATGACTAGTGGCTCTTTCTTTGGAAAGGATGTTGAGGATTCCCTGGCTCTGGGACTGGCTGGTTGGCCCTTGGTCACCTTCATCTCTCTGAGCAGGTGCCCAAGTCTCACCTATAGAAAGGGGGACAAGAAGCATAGGATTTCCCTGACCTAAGAAAGCTTTGTACCATTGGTCCACAGACGCCCTCCGAGACCTGGCATGACCTTTTCCCATCTTGTATGCTGGGAGTCTGGTTCTGGACTCTGACCCTGTGCTATCTGTTCCCAGCAGGCCTTTCCTACTAGGATATCTCCTAGTGTCTGGAGGGCTTGGTAAGGGTGCAGGGGTTGTGGCAATGTTACCATTGACCCTGGCTTGGTTCTTATAGTGCCCAGCCCTCTATTCTTTTTAGACCTGCTGACCCCAGAACAGGCACACCCACAAAAGGGCCACCAAGTTCCATTTCCTCAGGGCAAGTGCCAAGGTCACCTGCAGATATAGCCAGTGCACCCTGTTGTGTGGTCTCCAGGGCAGCCCCAGACACCATCCAGAAAGTCCTGGTTGAGGAAGAGGGTGAGGGGATCAGTCACTGAGGGAGTTATAGTCCCCATTGGCTTTGCTGGTGGACAGGACTGTTAGAAAAATATTTGCAAAGCAAGAAAGGTAGATGCAGAGGGTAGGGATAACTGAGTGGCCATCAGAAAGAGGGGCTGTTTCTATCTTCTCCAAAGGTCAGAGACCCTCGGCTGTACTTGTTCTTACTGGTTGTTTTATTTATTTGTATATTTGCTCTAGTATTAGTGGTGATAGGTCCTTTGCAGGGTCAGTCAGTTTGTTTTTTATCTCTTGCTACTGTGGCACGCTCTGTGCCCAGTTCCTATTCCAGATGCATTCTTAGTGCAAAGTCTTAACATGGTCAATAAAGCCATTATCATGCTCCTTTGAAAGAATAAGTTGGATTGTCAGCTAACAATTAAGAGATAGCTAGTCCCCCTCTCTATCTGACTTGGTTATTCAGTAACCAGTATCTGGTAGGGGGAGGTGGGATTCTAAGAAGTGCCACCTCTTGTCAACAGATTTAGAGGGTAATGAGGCAGCAAGCCCCACCTAAAACTACCTGCAAGCCTTGCACCTCATCACCCTTGGCCCTTGACCTGCTTGCCCAGCCTGGTCCTACACTGGGATTGCCATCCCTCTACTCACAGTTGTGCATACCTTGTACCCTGCTCCCCTTCTGGGGCCCCTTGATTCTCAAGGGAAGGGCTTGTGAAGAGAAGTGAAACCTTCCAGGTCCCACCCACAGCAGGAGAGCGTCAGCTCTCTGGCCTGCAAATTGAATGTGTGTTCATAAGCTTGACTCAGTTTAACCCAGCCCTTAATCTGACCTATGTCCTCAGGCCCCTTTGAATGATGATACCTGAGCCTTTTCTTGAGAACACCCTGACAAGTTTGCATGGAAAGAGCATCAGACTAGGAGGAGACCTGCCCCGCCATGCACTGTGCCAGTGTGGTGTGACATTGAGCTCAACCCCTCCATCCATCTGGAGTCCAGGCTGGAAGTCCCAGAGGAATCCAATGCCAGGCTTAGCATCACACAGCACAGCTAAGGACCCCTGGATCCAGGAATCACGACTCTCCTGCTCACTTTGGGGATCAAGTTTTCTTTTGGGGGGGTGGGGTGTATTGGGGATTGAGCTCAGGGGCACTTGACCACTGAGCCACATCCCCAGACCTATTTTGTATTTTATTTAGAGACAGGGTCTCACTGAGTTGCATAGCACTTTGCTGTTGCTAAGGCTGGCTTTGAACTGCCTCCTGCCTCAGCCTCCCAAGCCATAGGGATTACAGGTGTGTGCCACTCTGCTCATTGGAGAACAGGTTTTCTAGGAATTTGGGTGTAAGTCAAGCAGGCCTCTCAAGGAGGAGAGGGCTGGAAAATCATAGCATGCCAGTGTGGACCCTGCTGATCCTCCTGTCTGCCCCTGAGGGAAAGTGGGAAGGCCTCAGCAGGTCAGGGTCACTTCATTGTACCACTGCAGGCTCTCCATAGGCACTCCATCCACCCCAAGCAAGGTGAGGGTACTATTGGCTTCAGATATTTGTGTTCATGGGGACCCAGGTATGCCTCCTAGAGCGGTGGGGGAAGGGGCTGGAATCCAGGTTCTAGAAATCACAGTCTAGAAGAGTTTGGTACCAGTGACAGAGCAGCAAGGCCTGTCTCTGTGCCTCCAGCTCTTCTTCCTCATCTGTTAAGTCTGAAGCAATACTAACTTCTATTTTTAAATGCCTACTGGGTGTTAGGAATGTGATAAAACCTGTCAGTAACTCTAACCTGTCTGTCGGTAGCTCTGCGAGAAAGGTGATAAACTGCTTTTTAGAGGAGTGAAAAGGTTTAAGGAATGAATCCAGCTTTTGCCTGATTTCTAAGTCCTTGCTGTTTTCTATTATAGACATCAACTCCTTGAAATACACACCTAGGGGGGGGCCAAGATGCTACTGTGTCCCCTGGGGTAGTTGGCAGGTAGAAAAAGCACAGGGAACAGACCCTGCGCTGAGGAAAGCTAGCTGGGGCTTCCCCCAGAATCAACAGGATAGAAGCCTGAGTGTTCCTAGGACTTCGCCTGGCTCCTGTCCAGAGCACCCTGACCTAGGTGTCCCTCAGTGACTTTCTATCCTCAAGAAATAGCCCAAACACCATTGGTTGGCACCCAAGGCCCTGCTTGGTCTTGGCTCTGCCTTTTTCCAGCCACTTTGTCTGTATTTGGCTCAGTCCCACCTTACAGATATCCGGAGCCATGCAAAGTTCCCTAAACAGGTAGTGTTATTTCACACCTCAGTGCCTTTGCACAAACTGCTTCCTCTCCCTGGCATATCTTTCTTCCGCCCAGCTATGATTGACTTGGCCTCTTCCTGCTTTTTTTTTTTTTTTTGAAGACACAACTGAAGCCTCACCACTGGAATCTCTTTCTGAAAGACATTGCTCCCATTCTGTTAGGCCTGATATCCCTCCTCTATGCTCCAGTGTCAGGCAGGACTTCTTTATTTTATAGCACAGTCACACTGACTTTGTCTATTCCAGCAGGGCAAAGATCCTTCTTATGATTCCTCCTGCTATTTCCAGATCCTTAGGCTGACACCTGGGACATGGAAGGCACATGGGTGGACAGAAAAGCAGTCTCATTTCTGCCAAGAGAATCAGGATGTTAGAAATGGACATGAATATGTCTGTCCTCTGGCACAGTTATCCTACCTGGAGTTGGAAAGCACAAGGATTCTGGAGGAAAGGGATATGGAGCAGATGAGGAGGTATAGCTGGGACCATAGCTAGGAGAAAGTCAAGGAGGGTAGGCTGAGGTTGTTGGTGGGCATCTCCTGGCATGTGGGAGTGAAGCAGTATGGTATTATTGGGGAGTAGGGGTGGGAACGGAAGGGTTGCTGGCAGCCAGGCTATCCCTTTGGGCCCTCTTTGTTTCTGCTCAGCTCCTGAGAGGGCTGGGTGTGCTTGCTGAGGTGTAGCCTGGCCTCCTGGCCACATCAGGCTCCATAGCTGGCAAAGACCCAATTGCCTGGCTTTTCAGGGGCCCCAGTGGGGAGGTCCTGGAGGTCTTTCAGATCCAGAAAGGATCTGATCTGTCACTATTGTGATAGTGACAGAGACCTAGAGATGAGCATAGGAGGATATTGTGTTCACTTGTCTTGTGAGATGGATGGGGTTGATGCTATATTCTGGTACAATTGAGGAGTGAAGCAGAGGCAGAATATGTTTACCCAATAAATTAGTGACAGGTGTCTCTGTCTTTCCAACTTTTCCCTGAATGAGGCAGCATCCCAGGCAAGGGCAGCATTGGTGTTCTCTAGGTGAAGTTTCCTTGCACCTACTTCCTTGTTTGTAGAAGGTCAGCTAGACACCCTGTCCAAATTCTCTCAGAAAATTGACCTCAGCTTCTAGAAATCCCTGAACTAGGAGTTGTGTGCCATACGGCAACCAGTAGAACCAGAAAACTTTTCTGCCACTAAACTGCTAATGTCAGTCACCAGACAGGCACTTAGGATAGAATTCAAGCCTCTAGAAGACTCCTGTGATCCATTCAGGTGTCTTTGGGCAGTGAAATCCAGACTACATAGTTGGAATTGCATTTTTTGATGGAATGGAAAGACACTGAAAAATTTTATTCAAAGTAATGGAGAAGGCCATGTGTAACTTCATTCTCTTAAGAAGAAAAGCTTAGGGCTGGGAATGTGGCTCAAGTGGTAGCGTGCTCACCTAGCATGCGTGAGGCACTGGGTTCAATTCTCAGCACCACATAAAAATAAAATAAAGATATTGTGTCCACCTAAAACTAAAAGATAAATATTTTTTAAAGAAGAAGAAAAGCTTAAAATGGACAGAATGGAAACAGAGACCCTCTTAAAAAGTGCAAATCCAGGGGTAAAGTGAGAAGGGAATTGATAGCCCAACCCAAATTTGGTCTTTGCTGAAATACTCTATTTCACAAGTGAGAGCCTGCATTGCTTCATGACATGTTTGAGGGAAGTAAGTTGGGGTTTGGGTGTAGATTCCCAGAGAGGACAGAGTAAGCATCTAGTATCTACTCTTCGATTCATGGGACTAAGGGATACAAAGATTTCCAGAGCCCTCTTACACACTTCTCATGAGATGTTTAATTGATGAACCAAAGAACTGGGTCTTCCTAATGCCTGGATATTTCTCTCAGGCTGGGGGGACCATTTTTTTTTAAGGTGCATTGAAAGCATCCACAATACCACTGAGCTGCATCCCAACCCCCATTCTGAGGTCTATTTTCCACTTTCTTTCTGGTTCTCAGCAGCTGCTGACTTGGCTCAGCTGATGGCCTGCTGTCAAAGCAGACAGTGACTCAGGCAGGCACTGCAGGCTCTTCCTTCCCCAGACCCTTAGGAGAGGAAAAGGGCCTAGGCTGCAGTGGAAATTTTGATTGGTGTCTGACTGGGACTGTTCTTTCCATCCCAGGCCAGTGGATGAGATGCAAGGCAGGGGGTGGGCGAGGGCACATGGGATGTGTGTGCCACAGAGGGAAAGAATGATCTTTCTGTCTAGTGGAATGGACCAGCTTGAGACTATGAAGGAGAAGACTTGGGTTTTGTCACCAGCTGCCCCAGCTGACTCATCTCCAACTGAGGCCTGGACTGTCTGCTGTGTTCCAAGCTCAAAGCAACTATTGACCTCACTTTGAAGACAGACCCTCCTTCCTCTGCAGTTCCCTCCCACTCCTATGTTTCTGACATTTAAAAACCATCCCAGCTGGGTGTGGTGGAGCACACCTATAATCCCAGTGGCTCCAGATGCTGAGAGATCATGATTTCAAAGCAAACCTCAGTAATTTAGTGAGGCCCTGAGCAATTCAGTGAGACCCTGTCTTTAAATAAAATACAAAAAAAAGAACTGGGAATGTGGCTCAGTGATTAAGCGCCCTTGGGTTTAATCCCCAATAAAAGCAAAAACAAAACCATCCCAGATCCCTGCCACCATCCCTGTGGCTCATACAGACACCCAGAAGCCCTTGCCTAGATTAGGCCACAGAGAAACAAAGGGGCTGGAAAGCAACAGGAGCAGGGGAGGTGCTTCCCTTTAAGGTGTGGGTGACTGGCCAGTCTATTAGAAACCTCAGGAGTCTATTAGAAACCAGGGAGATAATGCTCCCAGCAATCTGTCCTCTGCCCGGCTGTTCTGAGCCTCCCCCTGGCCTCTGCCCCTGAGAATTTGTGTCTAAAAGGGAACCTGGAGATAAAGAGTAAGTGGGCCTGAGGCCTTGGGGCTACCAGAGCAGGCACAGGCTGGAGGCAGCTCCCAGCTGGGGTTTGGCTTCCTGCTGACCCAGATGCCTGGCTTCTTCTGCAGGTTCCGTGGCTTCACCCTGCTGCTCACCTTCCTCATTTATACCTGTTATCACATGTCCAGGAAGCCAATCAGCATTGTCAAGGTGAGGCTGGGTAGTAATGGAGAATGCAGGACATGCTGGGGCCAGCAGATGTGCACTTTAATGGAGTGGTCTTGTCCTCAGGCCATTACCTGCCTCTTTCCCTTTCCCTGGTCACAGAGACCACTCCTTCCCCGTGGCAGATACCCAAAGTTAGTAGCTCTTTTTTTTTTTTTCCCCTCAGGAATATTTCCCTATGTGCTTCTTTTGAGTTTGTTCAGTGTTGGGGGTATGGATGGGATGAGAAGGCAGGGGTCCTGGGCGCTATTTGTCCTGCTTACCAGTCTGAGATAGCCACCTTTCCCTATATTCAGTCACTGCAGGCAGAAGGGAACAAGGAATCTGGGGGAGCGGGGGAAGGCAGTGGTGCTGGTGTGGTTGGGGTAGGAGATCCTTCTTTTCTCTAAGCTGAGTGGGGTCTGGGATGATGAGATGACCCCTGACCTATGCAGATCATTGCCTCCCCAGAGCCGTCTGCACCAGAACTGCTCGGAGCTGATCAAACCCATCAATGATACCCACAGTTTAAATGATACCTCGTGGTGCAGCTGGAGTCCATTTGGTAAAAACAGAGCATGTTGTTCTTCTCCACTCCTGTTCCCTCTTCCTCAAGAAGGGGCTACCCAGAGCCAAAAAGGGCTTCCAAGTGGCAGGGGAAGCTAAGCAGTCAACTTTCTGTCTCTTCTGTCTGCTTTCAGATAAAGATGACTACAAGGAATTACTGGGGGCTGTGGATAATGCCTTCCTTGTGGCCTATGCCATCGGCATGTTTATCAGGTAAAGAAGGGCACAGCCTGTGCCCATCTAGAGTGGAATGGTTCAGAACCACAGCCTCCCCTTGTCTAACCTGGGGGCAGCAGGCTGAAGGGTGAAAGCTGTTTGCTCCCTGGGTGGGAGTGAGGCCAAGACTTGTGCATAAACCATCAGCCTCCTTTCCTCACTGTGGCCACCAAGACTGCTCCTTCACCTGGTGGACTCCCACTGTTAGCTGCCCTTTTTCCTGGAAGATTTTCAAGATGCCCCTTTTGAGTTGACTTAGCATTGGTGGGTGTGAAGCAGGGTCCCTCTGAAGATGGCCCTAGATGTGGAGATACCCAGGAAGCTACTATCCTGTGCTGTGTCTAAGGTTAGCCCAGCAAGCACGAATCTGGCAAAACCAGTTTGGAACTCACTGATAGGAATCACAGTTGAATAAGGCAGGGTCCTGCCTTCAAAGAGCTCACAGCCTAATGGGGCGACCCAGGCATCATCTGCTAATTACAAAATGGCAAGGTGGCTCTAGGATAGAGAAGGCCATCAGATGCTCTGGAGTTCAGAATACTTACAGAGTTCAAGCAGGGATTGGAGAAGATGGAGTTGTGGAATGTTTCTTGGAGGATATGAGCCTTGAACTAGTAAAGAGGTCATGGGCCTGGTAGCAGAGAAGGGGATCTAGGCAAAAGGCACGGCATGAGCAAAATAAGGCAAGTGAGGAAACAGGTTTTCCAGAGAGGAGATTCCAAGGAAGTAACATAAGATGGAACTAAAGGATGAGGTCATGTGCCAAAGGCCTGTGTGTCAGGTTGTGAGGAGAGAAAGTGATTGAGAGTTTTTACCCCAGGTTTGTTTCAGGATAGATCAATCTGAGGGAGAAGTGAGAGAGAGCAAGATAGGTCATACCAAGGGGAGGCTTTTGCTTTTTTTTTTTTTTTTTTTTGGTACAAGGGATTGAACCCAGGGGATATACTTAACCACTGAACCACATCCTCAGTGCATTTTTAATATTTTATTTTGAGACAGGGTCTCACTAAGTTGCTTAGGGCCTCATTAAGTTGCTGAGGCTGGCTTTGAACTCATGATCCTCCTGGCTCAGTCTCCTGAGCCCCTGGGATTATAGGCATGTGCCACTGTGCCCAGCCCAGAAAAAGCTTTGACAACAGACTAAGCTGCTGAGTGTGAGTTTCTACTGTGGTAATGAAGATGGAAGTCAGCACACTGCAGAATAATTTAAGAAGCAGAAAGAAGCTATATATGCAGCTCAGTGACAAAGCTTAGCATGTGCAAGGCCCTGGGTTCACTCTCTAGCACTGCAAACATTAAAAAGGTAGAATGGTGGGCCTCAGAGACTGAATGTGAGAGGTGGGAAGTGAGGAGAGGCAGAGTCTCCTGTGGCTCCCTGGTCTGTCTTGAGCAGCCAAGTGGGTTGGTGGTGCACTTCTCTCAGATCAGAGATCAGGCCAAGGAGCTGAGTGGTGAAAAAAGGAAGAAGAATTCAGTTCAAGTATAGAATTTCAAATGTTTTGGGGACATCCAAGTAAAGATGTCCAGAAGGTGTCTGGATATGATCCTATAACTCTGGGGACCAGATCAGGACTGAAGATACACAGCTGGGACTATTGAGCATATAGGTGAGAGTTAAAACATAAAAGTGATGCAAGAGATTGCTCCCACAGGGAAATCATTGACAAAGAATGGCCAGCCACAAGGGAAGGAGATGAGCAACAGTGCCTTCACTGTATGGCCAGCAGTGTCAAATAAAGCAGAAGGAGTTGACTGGGTATTTGGCACATTCCTGTAATCCCGGCTACTTGAGATGGCTGAGGCAGGAGGATTGTAAATTCAAGGCTAGCCTTTTTAATTTTATCTCAAAATAAAATAAAATAAGACTGGGGATGTAGCTCAGTGATAGAGCACACTGGGTTCAATTCCCCATATTGGGGGGAAAAAAAGGCAGGAGTCCAGAAAGGGGGGGCTGAGGTGACAGCACAGAGGTCATTGATGTGAACTTTCAGTGGCTTGGGGTTAGGGGAGAAATGAGGTGGTAGTAGACATAAAGGATATTGACCATAAATCTAACTACTTTTTCTCCAGTGGAATTTTTGGGGAGCGGCTCCCCCTCCGTTATTACCTTTCAGCTGGAATGCTGCTCAGTGGCCTTTTCACCTCCCTCTTTGGCCTGGGATATTTCTGGAATATCCATGTACTCTGGTACTTTGTGCTCATCCAGGTACGAATCTCCATCTTGTCCTTGGGCCTTTGTTCCAATCACTAAAAGGACCCCAGAGGCCACTATCCTTCCCATCTGTCCCCAGGTCACAACAAATGGAGATCTGGACTCACTCCCTGCTCCCACTTGAGTTCCCTCCATCACACTGTACACCCAACAGCCATGAATTATTAGCTCAGTAAATCTGCCCTGAACACAGCACTGAGATCCCTTCAGAAGGCATGAGAGGCTTGGTCTCTGCTCAATCTTGAGCTAGAGGAGAAATCAGCTCATGACATTGGGGTGTGGGTGGACAGGCATGTGAGGGAAGGGCAAGGTTTGTAGTGTAGGGTGTGGAAGGCCCCTCAGCGTCACATTGAACTTCCTCCACCCAGGGCTGTGGAGCATGGCCGAGGCTTGTTCTCACCCTCCATCCTCTCTCCCTACAGATCTGTAATGGACTTGTCCAGACCACAGGCTGGCCCTCAGTGGTGGCTTGTGTCGGCAATTGGTTCGGGAAGGGGAAGTGAGTATGACGAAGGAGGAGGGTGGGAAGGACCTTGAGGGCTGGGACTACCGAGATGATCACTCACGGCCCTCTGGTGTAAACTCAGGGGAAAGAGTAGAGAGTGCCTCCTCCGGTTGGTTGATGTCCACAGGCTGAGACACAAATGTTTCCATGGGAGCAGTGCTATTTCTGTCATCCATGAGGATTTAACCCATAGTTAAGGCAACCTTATTTACACTTTTTCTCAAAAAGAATGAATTTCCATTTTGAAAGAAGACAAAAAGAGGTCTATAAAAACTGGTTTTTGCTATCTTGAAAAAAAAAAGAAGAAAGAAAAAGAAAAAGTTGCCTTTGAGCAAGATTTCTCACCCTCAGAGCTATTGATATTTTGGGTTGTTCAATTCTTGGTCATTGGATGCTTATTAGATAGTGCGTAGTACATGCTTGGCATCTTCCCACTAGGTACCAGGAGCAAACCCTGAATTATGATACCCTCAAATTTCTAGATGTTACCAGATGTTCTGGGGGGGCACAATTGCCCCCCAGTTGAGGACCTCTGCTTTAGAGTAAGATTATGGTGCAGCAAAAGGGAAGAAAGAGTGGGGGCTCTACACTCTCTGTGTGGTGAGAGCTCTCACCTGTGCTTGCTCAGGGTGCTGGCAAAGAGGGGTGGAGCCCAGACCAGTTGCCTACTTGGCGACAGCCCGGCCCTCCTCCTCCTCACTGACTGTGTCTCTGGGGTTTTGCAAGTCTAGGAGGCTTGGGCACCTCCTAGAGGCTGTGGGCAGCCAGACTTACATCTTGGCCAGGGTCATTACTTTCTCTACACTTCTCCCCTTTCCTTCCCTCCCCTGCAGGCGGGGGTTCATCATGGGCATCTGGAATTCCCATACGTCTGTGGGCAACATCCTGGGCTCCCTGATTGCCGGCATCTGGGTGAACCAAGAGTGGGGTCTGTCATTTATTGTGCCTGGTGTCATCACAGCTATCATGGGCATTATCACCTTCCTCTTCCTCATTGAATGTGAGTGGACCCCACAGACCCCACTAGTGAGCCTCCCAGTTCTCTGTTTCTGGGAGAAGGCAGTAGATACACTGGAAAGATTGCTGGGCATGGGGTTGGAGGATCAGCTGTGTGTTGCTGAGACTCAGTTTTCTCATTTGCAAAATAATAATAATATCTACTCCCTGGAATGTCTGAAGGATTAAAGAAGTTACAAGGTATTTAAAATCTCTGGTTTTTCTGGGCACAGTGGTGTATGCCTGTAATCCCAGCAATTTGGGAGGCTGAGAATCACAAGTTCAAGGTCAGTCTCAGCAATTTACTGAAATCCTCAGCAGTTTAGCAAGACCCTGTCTCAAAATAATTAAAAAGGGTTGAGGATGTAGCTTGGTGCTAAAGTGCCCCTGCGTTCAATACCCACTACCACACACAAAAAGAGCTTGGCCTGTAGCAGCCCAGTCAACACTGGTTGGCTCTGAGAGGTGTGGGAAGGGGCAGGTGTGGTTGAAGGGCCATGCTCACAGAACCTAATCTCTTTCATTTGGTACATTTGACTGTTGTCTTCCCCAGTTTCTTTTCTTTTCTTTTCTTTTTTTTTTTTTTTTTTTTTTTTTTTTGAGAGGGGAAGGGGAGGTACAAGGGATTGAACTCAGGGGCAATTGACCACTGAACCCCATCCCCAGCCCTATTTTGTATTTTATTTAGAGACAGGGTCTCACTGAGTTGTTTAGCATCTCACTTTTGCTGAGGCTGGCTTTGAACTCACCATCCTCCTGCCTCAGCCTCCTGAGCCACTGGGGTTACAAATTTGCACCACTATGCCTGGTGTTTTCCCCATTTTCTGACATCTTGTGAGGCCTTGTGAATTGGCAAGACTGGGTTTATAGCCACTTTGTAGTGCAAGAGGCAGTAGTGACATGGTAATTAGGAGAGCCAGGCCTAGAAAACTGGCCTCCTGAACCCCAGTGCCGATTCCGTCATGGAGGGGAGACCACACAGATGGTATAGCCAGCTTCCTGTACCAGCTGTAAAGTGAAAGCTGGCCTGCAGGAAGCTTCTTAGAAGATTTTTTTTTTCCAGACCCAGAAGATGTAGACTGTGCCCCTCCACAGCATCACGTGAGTGTGACCCCTCCCAGCTCTATCCCTGCCTTCCCTCCCCATGAATGGGGCTGGACCAAGGAAGATCTGGGAGTTGGAGGAGGGAGTTGTGCCCCTCCCCCGCTGCCATTGACTTCACAGACCCAGTATTAGGCCATTGGACTAACTGGCTAAAAAACCAGTGGGCCTGGCAGAGTCAGTCCTGTCCAAGAAAGAGATGCACACCTCCTCCTGCTCACCTGGGCCACGCTCTAGCTGGATAAGGGGGTATATGGACCAGCTTTCAGTGAGGGCTCTTCTCTTTTGCACAGGATGGGTCAGACAAGGACCAGGACAACCCTGAGGACCCTGAAAACAGTCCCTACCCTAATAGGGAGACCATCCAGGAGACTGTGACCAGCTGCTCCAAGGAGCCATGCGCTGAGCCTGTGGCCATCAGCTTCCTGGGGGCACTCAAAATCCCGGTGAGAAGTTTGTGGAATGAAGGGAGAGAGGGATTTTCTAGATTTTTCCACTGAATATCAGAAGATGGGATGGAAGGTGACTAATGATTTCCAGAATTTCCTTATGAGAGAGGTGGAGGGAAAGTAGTGGGCTTGGGGAGGGCGGTCTGGGAGACTTGACACAGCATGGAGCAGCAGGCATGTTGCTTCCTTCGGGATTAGGTGTGGGTATGAGTTTGTTTTGTGGAAGGTGATAAACAGTCCCAGGGTAGTGCTGAGCCACCACCAGATGGAGGATCTCTTGGACCCTGTTCCATTGTGACCTTCTTTATGCTCCCCAGGGTGTGATCGAGTTCTCTTTATGTCTGCTCTTCGCCAAACTGGTCAGTTACACCTTCCTCTACTGGCTGCCACTTTACATCTTCAATGTGGGTAAGTCCAAGGGACAGAAGGGCTAAGAGCAAGAGATCTCCAAGGAAAGCAAGGCTACTTCTGGTGGGGGAGGAAGCCACTGTGGCACTGTGTGAGACTCCAGTGTGCTGAGCTTCAACTAGGGCATGAGGAGATTTATTTAATTTTTTGTTTAAGTGGGAAGCTCTGTACATTATACCTAGACCCTGAGTCCAGCTGAGTTCACCCTGACTCCAAAGATCTGTTCTACCAACCTCCCTTGTCTTCCTCAGCCTGAGAGTAAGAAAAACATCCCACTCCAGGCTGCTTGGCTCACAGGTGGATGGAGCTGGGTGCTGGAAAGGTCTACCATGAGTGCTTCCCCAGCCCAAAGAAGAGGCCTGCTGCCTGGCAGTAACCACAGGGCCCTTCTTCTTCTTCTTCTTTGTTTTGATGGGCCTTTATTTTGCTTATTTATTTATATTCGGAGCTGAGAACTGAACCTAGTGCCTCACACATGCCAGACAAGCACTCTACCACTGAGCCACAACCCTGGCCCCAAGGGCCCTTCTTCTATGGGTCCTATGCGTCTGTATTGAGTTCTGCTGGTCTGCTTTGGGGGAGCTGCCCCATGTCATGGGATACTTTTCCCTTCCCCTGCTCAGGGATGTACAGATGAAGGGAGATCACTTGTGATATTGAAAAAGAGTGTTTGAGGGCTGGGGATGTGGCTCAAGCGGTAGAGCGCTCGCCTGGCATGCGTGCGGCCTGGGTTCGATCCTCAGCACCACATACCAACAAAGATGTTGTGTCCACCAAGAACTAAAAAATAAATATTAAGAAAAAGAGTGTTTGATATCTCCTTGACCTGGGCCTCTGCTTTTCCTTGAGCGGGGGTCTCTATCTAGCATGCTTCACCTTCCCAGACCCTGGGAGCCTCAAAACTCTACCTCTCACTCAGGACCTCTCACCCAAGGCTGCTCGATTCCCTCAGCCCTGGGGAGGGACGATGTTGCCCACAAATGTTACCACATTTGTGCTTGCTCTGAATAGGAGTCCTTGTGGATTAGTCATGGCCAGATCTCAAGCTGCGTCTTGCCCTTTAGCTCTACATTAGGGGCCCCTCTTGGTAATACTGGTAGAGTTCTAGGGCAGTTTTGTGGACACTGTGACTTTTTGTTTTAAGGCCTTGGCTCTGACTTCAGAATATGAGTCAACATTGGGGGAGGGCTACAAGTCAAGCTTCTGGACATTCCTTTTTCTAAGCCTAGAACCAAGGCCTGGGCCCAAGTTCCCCATTTCCCTGCAATTCTTCTTCTCGCTCTTTACATTAGTAGAGCCCTAAGGTGGCTGGGAAGGGCACTTAGTGGAACCTGCTGTTAGGTCAGGAATGGAACAGGGCGAGTGGCTGATTGGGCTGAGGCTCAGTGAGAGTGACTGCAACACTCCAGGGGGAAAGATGGCTCTTGGGGTGGGGTTCTAAGAACCCAGATCCCAGCTTTGTGAGACAAGGTCTTTTCTAAGAGGTTAAAGTCATCCTCCAGGGGAGAAGGGCAGTACAGGACTGAAAACCAGAAAGACTATGTCCCAAACTGCTGTAAAGCCACTCTGCAGCCCTGGCAAATCACTGTGCCATGAGCTCTCAGCTGGAAGATGGGGCTGAATCAGGGCCCTGTAGGGATTATTCTGCAGCATGCAGAATGCTTGCCCTGAACCCCTGGGTGTCTGACCATGTATTTGTGTTTTCTAAAGCTCACTTTGGTGCCAAGGAGGCTGGGGACCTGTCTACGCTCTTTGATGTTGGTGGCATCATAGGTGAGGCCCTGACCTGCTCTACCAGTGGGCTTCCCTGATTCTCCTTAGGGGCAAAGAAAGAAGAAGTAGGTCCAATGGGCTGTGCCTGGCCAGGTGGCTCTAGAGAACAGTCTTCTCTGCTCCTGCAGGGCTGGATAGGCTTAAGAAAGATGGCGTGTGTGGTTTCTCATAGTAATGGGTGCCAGGGAGGGATGTGGAGGGAGACGCTCTGCTGGTCCTTGATGTCAGGTGCAGGCCAAAGCTGAGTAGGACAATGGAGGGAAGCTGGGCAGCAGGCAAGGGGATGGCGTCCTCCTGTCAGAGGGCACTGTGTAAGTGGTGTGTGTTCCAGGTGGCATCATGGCAGGGCTCATCTCTGACTACACCAACAGCAGGGCCACCACTTGCTGCATCATGCTGATCTTGGCTGCCCCCATGGTGCGTATAACCTCAAGGGCCAAGTGCCTATGAGTAGATGTCACAGGCCTCTGACCTGTGTGCCCATCTCTACATTTATGCATACAGCTGTCTCTTGTACATGTGAGTGTACTCCCTGTGCACACCTGGGAGGAGAAGAAGTGAGGGTCAGAAGAATCAGGCCCCTGGGAAAGAGACCAGGACTGGGAATTTTGGAAAGGGATTAATTATTATTTGACCTTGATAGAGAAGAAGGAGACTAGCTACGAAACTTCTTGACCAAGAAAAGGGAAAGAGATTGAGGTTAGATAGGAGAGAAGGCTTTTTAGGAAAAAAGTCATGTTTAGATCTTCCATCCCTGGGTTGCTTAAAGACCTGAAAAGTCTGGGTGTGAGAGGGAGGAGGAATAAGGTGACATCTGGTGTTCCAGATCAGGAAAGGGCTGTTCTAGCCCATCCAGGGGAACCTGGATGTGACTCTGCCTCCCTCCTCCTCTCACAGATGTTCCTGTACAATTACTTTGGCCAGAATGGGATTGTCAGCTCCATAGGTGAGTGGGCATTGCAAGTTCTGTTAGGCCACAGAAAAGTCCCTGCTTTGGGAGCCCCATGATGCTGGTGTGGGGGTATGAAGGGTAAGAGCTAGGAGGCCTGAGACCTCGAGGTGTCATCTACTTTGAGACTCACTTCTAACTGCACTATTTCTGCTGCTGTCCAGTGATGCTGATTATTTGCGGGATGCTGGTCAATGGCCCTTATGCACTTATCACCACAGCGGTCTCTGCTGATCTGGTAAGCAGGCCACCCCCAACCCAGTGCACCAAGGACCACTCTGGGGACTTGTTCAGGGCTTCTCTCTCCATGGCCACTTTCCCATATCCCTTTTCCCATCTCCTGTCCTACAGGGACAAGATCCTTAAAGTCCTTGAGAACCCAGCACAGATCCCTTTCCTCAACATCCAAGCCCTAGTCACTACACTCCCCAGTGAGCCTCCCCCGTCCTGGTCCTACTCGGTGCTGCTACTTAGCTCAGTCCTCTCACTCTGCTTCTCTCCTCAGGGCACTCACAAGAGCCTGAAGGGCAATGCTAAGGCCCTCTCCACTGTCTCAGCTATCATCGATGGCACGGGCTCCATAGGTCTGTGATGTTAATTTGGCTTTTGGCATCTGGACCAAGCCCTGTCTTGGACAGACTGTTGGATTACCCTCAGGTGGACAGGGAAGGTAAGGCCCACTTCTCATGAGGCTATGCTTTGATAGGTGCTGCTCTGGGGCCCTTGCTGGCTGGACTCATTTCCCCCACAGGCTGGAACAATGTCTTCTACATGCTCATCTCTGCTGACATCCTGGCCTGCTTGGTAAGCATTGTTGGGATACACCAAGGGGTATCAGAAGGGTTTTTTTGTCTCCAACAAAAAACCCTGTACTGGGGGTTCTAGGGCAACAAGAGCAGCAGTTCTTTGCTCAGAACTACTTTGCAAATGGGGGTGACTCCTTTCTCTGCTGCCAATGCATTGGTCAACTGACCCTGGGAGCTATGTACTGATGCTCACGGTGCCCCCCTTCCCTCTGTGCCTTGGACTCCCCACAGTTGCTCTGTCGGTTGGTGTACAAAGAGATCCTGGCTTGGAAGTCATCCCTGAGCAAAGGCAGAGGGTGAGTCCTCCTAACAGTGGAAGCCCCACTTCTCCCGACCTCATTCTTTAGGCAACCCACCTGGTGCTCAGTTACTCTACACCCATTCTGAAGCTAGACCAGCCCAGACCTCAAGAACACTGAGCCAGCCCCTCCATGAAGTGCTGTGTGAATCCCTGCCCCACCCCAGACCCACTAACCTGTCCTCTGTTGTCCCCATGTGTCTCTGTAGCTCTAGTCTGGCCCTAACCCATCCGCGATAGTATTTTCCTCAAGTCCCACAACTTTTGTGAGTATTTTCTTCAAGTCTGCGATTAGTGTGCCACTAGAACATGGGCTGCATGCAAATCCTCTCCCTTCCAATGTGATTTTTTCTTTTCTGACTTTCTCTTTTTTCTTGGGAGCCAGGTCCAAAGATAACCTGGACAGAGCATGGTGCTTGGAAAATGTTTCCCAAGGGGTCTGAGATGCTACCAAGGATGGCAGCCTCTTCCCTGAGGGACAGCATTAAGGGCATCCTCTAGGACAGAGGGGGCAGAGATGGGAAATCATTTTCCCTCTGAACTTAGGCCTATCCACATGTGCTTCCTGAAGTTCAGAAACAAAGGTCATCTGGTCCCTCTGTCCAGGGTGTGCAGAAAAAAGCAACTACCAATCAGAGGCTCTGAAACAAAATTTGAATCAATCATCTGTTGGTAACCTGGTGTGCTGTCTGCCTGATGTCCAGTGGTGGTGGTTGTAGGGGTGGCAGGAATAGGTTAGTGGCTGAGGCAGGGGCTGGTCAGAGGCTGACACTGTCTGCTGGTGCTGGTGGTTGGACAACTTTCCCTGTGGCCTTTTGGCTCTCTTTCTGAGCAGGAGCCTCTTGCTCATGAGGAACTGGTTGGAGCCTAGACTAGGGTTGGATATGAGGAAGAGCCCCCTGGGGTCATGGTAACCCACACAGTATCGTGGAAACATTTCTGGGAAACACTTCTGCTTTAGAAAGGCATCACACAAGGAGAAAAACTGAGAGCAGGAAGCAAACTACAGTTTGTAGGAAGCATTCACAGGGTTTGTCCTGCTCTGGAGGAGGGGAGCAGGGAGTTAGATAGCTTGATTTAGCTCCTTCCACCTGTATTCCTTAGGCCAGGTTTGACGAGGGGAAAGGGAAAAGAAGGAATATTTAGTGAGCATTGCTGTGTGCCTGAAATGGAGTTGAGCTTTAGATATAGTAGCTCGCCTCTCAACCATATCAAAACAGGTAGTATCATTTAGAATGAGGACCCAGTTCTGGAACAACCTAAGAAGGACCCATATCTGTAGGGGTTTGTTTTGTGCATTGCTGCCTTTCCAAGCTAGTCCTTCTCCATGGAAGGCATGTGTGGGTGTGTAATAATTTACTGGAGTGGAGAGAGCACTGGGCTGGGAATGTTGAGTCCCTGGACAGTCCTGCATTTTCTGCTCACTGATCTCTAAGATTGTGGGCACTCCCTCAGATTTCCTGAATCCTTATGCAAAAATGGGGATGCTTATCTCTAAATACAGGCAAGGATGACCTGAGGTTGAGGCAAGATGAGATCTGTGATATTGCTCTGTAAAGCTGTCAAATGTGGCATAAACATTGTGAGGTTTTCTCCATATTATTCCCTGCCCTAGAGGTAAAAGGGAGCCCTAATTCCAGGGAACAGAGATGAAAGGCAGGAGCTTATTAAGTTGTATCTCACTTTCTGTTCCATTTTCACTTTTCTTCATACAGGTATAAAGAAATATGAAGCCTCGATTGGAAAAGAAGTGTGGAGGGTCCCTGTTGGGTCCCCAAAGCACTCCACATGTGCAAGACAATGGAAATTTCTACTGACAGGTGAGGCAAAGCCTCCTGATCCAACACCAGCCGACTCAGCCCAGCCTAGCCCAACCCATGAAGCTGCTAAGGGTACAGAAAATTCTCTGTGGGAAGGGACTGCCAAGCCAAGGACATAAAAGGCTCAAGGACTGAGCTCTGAGAGCTGCAAGCAGAAGGGATGGGATCAGAGCAGGAGGGAAGGACATGCAGACTACTGCTTATTCAGATTCCATGACTGAAGGCAAAGACTATAGGACCAAGGCCTGGAAAAGGTGTCTCTTCTTCGCATGTTCAATTCTCATTTCTGTAATCACCCAGTTCCTGTAGGAATCATCTCTCCCGTTTCATAGGTGCCCAGCCTCTCTTTGTCTCTTTGTCCACAAATCAGTCTTCTCTGTGTATTTACCCAAGTTGGGTCCTCTTATTCTACCCCCATTTGATCCTGTTGATAACTTCTTAGGCCATTTTGATTAAAGCTTATGGCTGTTCTTCCAGGGCCAAGACTATGGTAGAGCAAGAGAGCTGCCTCAGTAAGGGGGCACTTACTCTTGGGCTTGTGTGTGTGCCCATCCTGACAGCTGAATGCCTGTTTGCCTCACCCTGGTCCTTAGCCCTTGATGATGCCTCAGTGGACAATGATATCAGTGTCAGTGTTATGGGAACTGATGGGGTGAGGCACGACTGAGAATCCTAGCATGTGTGGTACACGCTTTGAGAATGCCAGTGTGTACTGAGTGTGTACTGTACACCAGCTCTATCATAGGAATGAAGTAGCCAATGCACAGTTGAAAAGGATTCTCACCACTAGCACAAGTACCAGGATGACAAGAAATGAGGGTGTCGCTGGTTCTTTTGAGCAGCTGCTAACGTGCTGTTGCTTGGAGCTGTCAGCAGCCCCTTTCTATCCAGTGTTCTGATGTGCCTGCTTCTACACCAGGTCCTGGGTGTGACACGCCAGGCAGACTCCTGGCATTTTCAACTGACTTCTATAGCTACCCATCAGTACTAATATAGATTTCCTTTGCCAGCTGTGCTGTGCTAATCCTTGATAGGTCCTGGCCCAGCAGCAGCAAGCAGGGTTCACAGGGTTTGTTGAACTAGGGTCCCAGGAGCACACATTTGGTGTGCATTCATGGAGGGCATGCTAATGACATTGATGACTTGTGGAACATGCTGGAAGCCTCCAGCCTCATAGAAGATACAGCCTTTGTATTTACTGGGATACTGGGTGGGCTGGTGCGGTACCCTGGATACATAGGTTAAAATAAGTTGTGTTTGCTACAGTGGTAACACCTAGGGGAGTCTCATGTGCTTGATACACACTTTGGCTCTGGAAGGAGTCAGTCAGAGATATCTAAGTCTTCAGAGCCTACAGGGGCAGGACCTATGATATATGACTTTATGTTCAGAATTTATGATTACTTCTCATAAAACCGGAAAGATTTATCTGACTTTAACACCTAGGAGGGATAGGCTTAAGGAGAAGCTGTGTTACTTCTAAGAGCCACTAGATGGTGATACAATCCTGTGGTAGAGCCCAGCGTGGGCAGGTGTTGCAGCCCTGCTTCCTGGAAGGGAGAGTGCAGAGGTTTCCTTACTGGCCCTCTATGCTGGGGATGATGGTCAGGGGAGAAGGTATGGCTCTTCTGGAGGTCTTCTCTTCCCTTCCTTCACTGTTAACTAGCTTTACACCTATTTCCTCTTCTAAAAAATGGTAATAACATTCCCTACCTCATAGGAGTGGTGTGGAAAGGAGATCATACCCTTAAGGAACTTGTCTCATCAGGGATAATATAAGGGATATGAATGGGCTTATAAATGACACAAGCCTCCCGCTGCCACTTGCAGCATTTTATCACCTCTGCTCTCATCCATCCTCTTCCCCAATCTGCTGCATAGCACTGGTGTCTGTCATAAATGGATGCCATACTGCTCTACTAAGGCTAAACTCCCACAGGACAAAGGAGTGAAGAAAGAAAAAGGCAGCCCACCTGTCACGTTTCTAAGCTTGTCCCTTCCTGCCCACCTCTCACTATTTGCAGCAACTGAATCAGTTGAGCATCTGCCTGTTTAGCCAACAACTCTTAAGGCGATCTGAAGGGAGGCTCCAGCACTAGGATCTCTGGGAAATGAACAAGACATATCAGCTCCTCTCAGCAGATAAGTCTGGCACTGGAGAGAAGCAAGAAACACTGTGGGGCTCAGAGCATGGCCTTGGAAATGAGGGCTTGGGCTGTGGCTGGGCAGTTGGGGAAAGCTCCAAAAGCTGGGGGTTCCACAGTGCTGAGATCTGCCCCTTGGCACTCACCATTAGGGCCAGGCTGCCCGCCCTCCTCAGCTCTGGGCATTGGCTGTTCACTAGAGGCCTGGTACCTGCCTTCTCTCTGGGCCTCTGCACTCACACGGGGCTAATGCAGGAGCATTACGTTAATTAGTTATTCATTTAATTTAACTTCACATTTGGTCTCAATTAAGCTTAAAATGTTCTTCCTCGTAGATGCTACAATAGCACTTGTAATTAAAAAGCAATAATTCTTTGCGTTTCTCCTTTAGAGATCCATTGGGAGGTTGGCTAGTGTGTGTGGGACTAGTGTTGGTGGAGGGGTGTTGGGGGAGGAGGAGGTAAGAAGCAATGGAAAGAAAGGGAAAGAAGCTCTCAATAGAGCTTAGCATTATGAAGCTGCCATGAAGACTAGTAATTGGGAGGAGAAACTCAACATGCCATGGGGATCTGGGATTGAGGTGTACAGAGTGGCTGCAGAGAACCCTAGGAAGTGGATAAAACAACAGAACTTGCACATAAGGTTGTGGGAATGAGGAGAGGGCCAATGGAGCGTAGGAGACATTCCTGATAGCTGGAAGATGGGACCATATATTCCATAGTAGGTAGATAGAATGTGTTCCCTCCCCACAAGAGATGTCTGTATCCTAATTCCCAAAACCAGTAAATATGTCACTTTACCTGTCAGATATCACAAAAATTGTGGAGGCACTACCCCACCTTGCTAGGTGGGCCCATGTAACCACAGGGCTCCTTATAAATCAGAGAGAGAAGCAGGAGTGTCAGCTGGAAGATGTTATCCTGCTGGCTTTGAAGACTGAGAAAGCATCCAATGGCCAGGGAATGTGGGCAACTTAGAGAAGCTGGAAAAGGCAGGGAATGTATTTCCCCCTAGAGTCTTCAAAGTCTTGTCTTTAGCTCCATGAAACCCATTTCTGACTTCTAACCTCCAAAACCGTAAGATAATAAATTTGTACTATTTTAAATCATTGAGTTTGTGATAATCTGTCACAGCTGCAGTAGGAAACTAATGAAGATTCTTTATAAAATTGAAGATGATCAATTTAAATACAGGAAGACAAAAGAAATCCCCAGCTTTGCTGGGGTTGTGGCTCAGCAGTAGAGGGCTCACCTAGCACATTCAAGGCCCTGGGTTCAATCCTCAGAACCACATAAAAATAAATAAATAAAATAAAGGTATTGTGTCCAACTACAAAAAAAATAAATATTAAAAAGAAAAGAAATACCCAGCTTAAAAACAAGCAGAGGGCTTGGCTATGTAACATTTACGCACAGTGTCCTTTACATTCGTCTTGAAAACTTCATCTATTGGCTGCTCAGTTGTTTAGTATTTCTGAGCGAGGAGGAAGCCTCAGCCTAATAGAGTGAGACATTCCCAAAATGCAAGGTTGACCAGTGAAGTTGTCTCTGAGGTCCCATGTGTCTTTTAACTGCTCTGCCCCAGACTGTTGCCAAACTCCTAAGATTCTGGATTTTCCACCACACTCAGCTGCTTTTCCTTGGTGTTTTTATCAAGTAGACTTGCATTGCCTGACCCTGGTTCCTTTTCCTGTTCTCATTTTATGGAGCAACATAGCATAATAGGAAGGAGTTAAAAGTTTAAACACTAAGTCAAACTGCCTGACTTCAAATCCTGATTACTGGTTACTCCTGTGTGATCTTGAGCCAACTCCCTCACCAGTCTGTGCCTGTTCCCCACCTGTGAAATGGGGACATTTAAGAGGACTTACTCATAGGGCTGATACATGATGACATAAGTTAGTACTTACAATGCACTTAGAATAAATGCCTAGCACATTTACTAATCTAACAAAAAATGTGATTTCAGCATGTCAAATGCACTTATTTCCAAGATTTGGGATGGATCTAGAGATTAAAGGTTGAGCTCTATGAACTATAAAATCCCTTCCAGTCCTGAATTTTTATGCTCCTATGAGGATAATCAACACTTTTCCAGATTTGTTTCCATATGGTTCTGATTCTCACATCTGGAAATTTGTTTCTATGCAACAACAGCCAAACACTTAAAGACTTAAGCCAAGGAGTTAAAATAAAATGTTTGTTATTTATACTATCAATGTTAATTAGCATTCTTTAATGGAACTTTTAACCTTTGGACATGATTTAGGGAAATGGCAGGTACAGATAACTATAGTATCAACCAGTGTAAAAATAAGGAGTTGTTTGAAAGCCAAAAATGATCTTTAAAATGAGAAATGAATTGTTAGGAACCCAGTGGGAGGTTGGGTTAGTGTGTCAAGTTTGAGTGCCACTACTAACTAGCTGCGAAACGTTTAAAATCCTTTTTCCTCTTTGCCTGTTTCTCATCTATAAAGTAACAGCAGCAGGTTCTTTACAGATTGAAAATAAAATACAAATGCTTCACTATAGCAGCAATGAAGTAGAGTGATAGCAAAGTCAATGTCTTAAAGAACAAAAAGAAATGGATTACTTTGTTAGAATTAAAACATTTAAAAATAACTGGAATACCTCCATCCTGAGATCAAGTTAGGAAAACAGCCCAAACACCTCAGAGCTTGTGCTTTGATTGAATTACTCCACCAGGACCACTACTTTATGCCCAACAGGCGTTGGATCAGTGTTGACCAATGGCAATATATGTGGTGTGAAGGAATGGTTGTGCCTAGTCCCTGAATAAGCAATACAGTACTGCTGATGCAGTCTTAACATTAAACATCTGATACCCTGTATCAAAAGAGTGCTAGCTTTACTTCCATTTTTATAAGGGACAAGTTTAAGGAACTTAAATAATTATCCAGTGTGTTTTGCTGGCTTGAGAAACTTCTAAAACATAACACACAGCGCCACCTAATGGAATGAACAAACATCTCTACTGTAGGAGCACAGTGGTGTCATGGACAATATGGAAACAAGTGCATTTGAATGCGGAAATCACAATTTTTATTAGATTAGTAAATGTGGTAGGCATTTTTCTAAGTACTAACTTATGTCATCATGTATCAGCCCTATGAGTAGGTCCTTTTAAATGTCCCCATTTCACAAGTGGGGAACAGGCACAGACCGATGAGTCTTAAAATCATTCAGGAATAACCAGGAATCAGGATTTGAAGTCAGGCAGTTTGATTTAGTGTTTAAACTCTTAAAACTTGTCAGGATTCAATTCTGAAAGGCTATGAAATAACCTGTTTTCTCTCCCTTACCACCTTCCAAACAGTGGGGAATCACTGCAGTCTCTGGACAGAGACCAGAACAGCATAACCTGCTCTAAGGCCACTGATCAGAGACTGGTTAATGAGCACTAAAAATGATTTCTTCTGGTATTTAAGGGATGAGCTCTGAGCCCTGCTTCCAGGAGGCCATGAATATAAGGGGTGCCATATGAGACACTGATGATAGGGGCACCCCAATGCTAAAGTCTGAAATTCATTGTGCGCTCTCAGCCTTCCACTTCTGGGACTAAACCTGTGGTGGTTTTTTATTTTGTTTTGTTTTTAGGGTTAGACATGAATACCTTGGGTATGCAGGGAGAAAGTAATGTATCACTCATTTCACCATAGCTGGCAATTACAGACTACAGAGGGCAGGCCTAGCTGAAATACACTTTGCACGCACACACACAAAGAGAAGGTGGCAAATGGAGCAGTCAATGTTCCTCTTGTGTGGGCTTGACTTTGCTGCAAATAGGCCTAGGAGTCTGCCACACCTGGGTTTGCACACTGGATGTTGAGTGAAGCTCAAATGAGTCAGTTAATCTCTTTAAGCTTCAGATTTTCTTCTACTTTAAAACGGGGATGGCTGGGCATGATAATGCATGCCTGTAATTCTAGTAACTCTGGAAGCTGAGGAGGGAGGATCACAAGTTCAAGGCCAGTCTCAGCAATTTAGTAAGAACCTGTCTTAAAATAAAATTAAAAAAAAAAAAAAAATACTTGAGACGTAGCTCAGTGGTAGAACACCCCTGGATTCAATCCCCAGTACAACAACAACAACAAAAAGTGGGGGGTGATGACAGATTGTTGTAAAACTTAAAAGAAACTTCAAAAGTATTAGCAGACTACTGGCATATAACACATACCTAATCAATCTTTCCAACTTGTTCTCTTGGGTCTTCATTTTAAGCCAGAAGACCATTTTCTAAACAGATCTAGGGTGTCAGGATGACACTTCCTAAAGTGACCCTCCAATTAGGCACAAATTTTACTTGGTCAGGGAGATCAGGCACGTATAAAGTTATAATCTAATGCTGATAATATATGTTCCTGATTAGGGTTGAAGAAAGAGTTACAAAGATGGGGAGAGAGTACCACAACCTAAAATGGCCTGTTAAGATAATGTTAAAGCACACAGAGGGACCATATCCTGGAAAAGAACCTACAGATATATGGCAGGAGTACAGTCTACCAACATTTCTCTACCTGTCCTCTAATTTTCCAACAAGTTTGAAATATAAAAATACTACCTTACAGATTGAAAATAAAATACAAATGCTTCACTACATGGCCAAGAGTTTGAAGTGAAAGTCAGCCCCTTGGTGGTTGTTTATTGCTTTATTAGAGCAGAGGAAAGTAATACCCATTGCTTTTATAGGCTTCTGTGAAATTATATGCATAGGGTGGTCAATAACCGACATCTAAATTAGTCTTCCAAATTATCACATTAAAGTAACCTCTGTGTTTAAGTGCTTTTACTTTGCAAATAACTACAACTTTTTTTTCTTTTTTGGTATTGGGAACTGAACCCAGGAGCACTCTATCACCGAGTTATACTCCCAGCCTTTCTTGAAAATTTTTGAGACAGGGTCTCACTAAGTTGCTCAGGTTGGCCTCAAACTTGCAATTCTTCTGCTTCAGCATCTTGAGTAGCTGGGATTACATGTGTCACCACACCCAGCTATGATAATAATTTATAACTAAGAATTTCACATATTATCAAAAAGGGCTCATCCTTCCCGCCAAGTCCACTTATAAATAGCATGACTGAAAATCTACTCTAAGATTATTATTATTATTTCCCTTTCAAAACAGATGAAATTCCTAAGTGCAGGTACTAAGAAGACAGTAGCAACCCTCCTAAAACGGTGAGAATTGATGCCCATGGGGACAATTTTGCAACCCTGTTTCTGGAAGCCAGAGCTCAAGAGATTTGTCTTAGTGATGAATGTAATTCCTCTGCCTTCAGATAGGAAGACTGTCAAAATAAGGCTCTGAAGTCCCTTGTTGCTCATCAATGACATAAAAATGGAGCAGAGGAGAACAAGGTCTTGGTTTTCCTCAACAATGCTCAATAGGACCGCAGTGGTTTGGCATAGATTGGTTCCAGGATATGATGAGTTAGAACCAAGAAGAGACCTCCAAGGAAGACAGCGCTGAGGAAAGCCAGCAGGACATAGCGCCCAATGAAAAAGGCATCCACAATCTGGAGAAAGAAAACACCAAAGTGAAATTATTACCCTTCAGCATCCTGGCTGTGTTGATCCAAAATCTATAATAAGTTCATCAGCAGTTGTTCATTCATATTTGTAACTGAGTTCCCTCTATAAATAGATCATTGGAACCAGTTTTCCCAAAGAGTTAATGAGAAGTTAGCTTGGTCTAGAAAGAATCATTTTGTTGTTGTTGTTGTTGTTAAAACATATTTTATTATGGAGAATTTGGAACTTATATTAAAATACAATAGTATAAAATTTTGGTGTAGAGCTGGGGCTGTAGCTCAGTGGCAGAACACTTGCCTAGCACATGTTAGACACTGGGTTTGATCCTAAGTACCATATAAAAAGAAACAAATAAAACTAAGGCATTCTGTCCATCTACAACTACAAAACAAAACAACAACAATAAAAAAAAACATGGTGTATACACCATGTTTACATATATATATGATTCAACCATCAACCTACTGCTTTCAGAGGGGTTCATTTTCAAATAAAAAGGTGACTCTTCAAAGTTTTCATCAGATGAGTTCTGAACCCTAACATTTAGTTTCTCAGTGGAGAAGGCAAATGGCCATTTGCCTAAGATAGAACATTAAGAACATAAGTAACTTGCTCCATCATACATTTGGCTGCCTGGTAAACTGTCATACCTGAGGCCCCAATTCTTTCTTTCTTATTCTGCTTTCCTTTTTCTTCTTTTCTTTTGTGATACTGGGGATTGAACCAAGGGTCTTGCCCATGTTACCAGTCCTTGAGGCCCCAGTGTTCCTGGTCTTTGTTGACAAAAATCTGTAACTGCTGGGTGTGGTGGCACACACCTATAAATCCGAGCTACTCAGGAGACTGAGGCAGGAGGACTGCAAGTATGAGTGTGGACTGTCTCAAAATTTTTAAAAAGGTGGGGGCATTTGGGGCTGTAGGTGAAGTGCTTGCCTAGCATGCTGGAGGTCCTGGATTCAGTCCTCAATACTAAAAGAATAAAAATAAAATAGCTATAACCGATGTTGGCTCTATTCACTGTTGTGCTATGTACTTCCAGAGCCCCAATTTTCCCAGCGCCAAATGGCAGTACTTAAATTTAGGCAGAAAAAGACCTATTTAATGTATAGATTTTATGACAGCAGTGATTGACTTCACAGAAGCCTTGAAAACTCATATCTAGGAGAGAACCCAAAATATCCAAACAGTGATTGTCATAGGCAAAAAAAAAAAAAAAATGGTCTGAAGATGTCCACATCCTAATCCCTAGAAGCTTTGAATATGTTAGATTACATGACAAAGGAGAATTGAGGTTACTAACCAAATGAACCTGAAAACAGGGTTATCTGCATTACCCAGGTGGGCCCAATGTCATCACAAGGGCCCTTGAAAGTTAGAGGGGGAAGCAGGAAAGAGGGTCAGGGAAAGAGGTGTGAGGATGGAAGCAATGTCAGAGAGATGTTTATTGTTGGCTTTGAAGATAGAGGAAGAAGCTGGTGCAGTGGCACATGCCTGTATCTCAGGAGGCTGAAACAGGAGGATCACAAGTTCAAAGCCAGCCTCAGCAAAACTCAGTGAGACCTTGTCTCTAAATAAAATACAAAAAAATAGAGCTGGGATATGGCTCAGTGGTTGAGTGCCCTGAGTTCAATCCCCAGGATACCTGCCCCCCCCCAAAAAAAAAAGGTAAAGGAAGGAGGCCACCAGCTAAGGGCCAGAGGAAACCTCCAGAAGCAGGAAAAGTCCAGGAAATAGACTGTCCCCTAAAATCTCTAGAAAGAAATGCAGCCCTACTGAACCCTGGATTTTATTTAGCCCAGTGAGACTGATTTTGGACTTCTAACCTACAGAACTGTAAGATGATAAATTTATGTTGTGGGCTCCTATGGTTATAGTAACTTGTTACAGCAGCAATAGGAAACTAATACAGTGCTGATATTCAAAGCACCTGTCAAAATCCAAGCTCTGGTATGATTGCTGAGATACAAAGACACCAAAAAGAAGAAGACTCAGACACCCCAGTTGCTCCAGAGATTACCCCAACAGTCAACTTATAACAAAGGTCAGTTTGATAAAACAGCTTTAACATAACTTTGACCTTGGCTCTGTTACTGAACAAGTCTCTTGCGGGCTACATGTTTGCTCGTTCGACTGTTTCACTTTTTAATTAGCCAATTAGCAGGCCTTGGGTGCAGAAGGCCCAGGCCATGTATTATTGATACAGTATTGAGCTTGGCTGCTGCAGGGGCCAGCTCTCAAGACCTGAAAATGAGAACTCCATTCTGCTGGCTATGCTGACAAACACATTTTGCTCAAACCCCATTCTGTCCTGAGTCTGAAACTCATATGACAGAAAAGAGAGAGACTGATTTCAACAGTGTTTACTCTATTGCCTTCTTCTAATTGTCACTTCTGTAGCGACACAGAAATCTTATCACTCTCTCCTCTAAGTAAGGACACTGAGGTAAGAATTTACCCCTGGCTCACACACACAGTACTTCTACCTTCAGAGTGGTTTCCAAATGTAAACAAAAGACCTGGAATTAATGAAAATAATTCCTTGAATTTGTGTGGTATTATTCCCTTGGAGTTTTGGAAACTAATTTCCTTCCTTTTGTCAAGGTTTAATTCTATATAAGGTTGGAAGTATGTGTTCACTATAGTCCAAAAGTCTGTGTACTGTTGTTTAGTATCAAATTGGTAAACTATGTATTCTCTGGGCTGGCCCCTGATATTCTGCTAAATCCCAACAATGAAGATTTTGAAGGTAGACCTCAGCTTGAATCTTTGCTCTGCTTCTTAATGTATATGTATGAATTTGGGCAAGTTACCTTAACCTCTATAGCTCCTGTGTCCTCACCTATAAAATGAGGACAGTAATAGTACCTACTTTGTACTAGTTGGGTTGGCCTGAAGTTTAAATGAGACAGTATAAACATGCTTACATAGGACCTAGCACACAGTAATCCTTTAATAAATGTTAGCTATTATCATCATTACTGTTTAAAAATTAAAATAGAGGTTGAGAAAAAAGAAGCTATTAGAAGAAGCAAAGGAACAAATGAAGTCAATAATCTTATCAGGTTCCTATGGGGTTTGAGACCAGTAGTGTATGGTTAAACCAGCACCCCATTCATTCAGGAATGGGTGAGATCTCCAGCAAAGAAGTATAGAGAGATGATAAGAATCCATTTACAGAGGTGGAAGCTGGCATATGTAGACCAATGAAATTGTTAGTATTGAATTAATTTATATCTTCCATTTCTGCTTTCCACAGAAATGTTCCTCTTTCACCACTTCTCTATGGAAATGATTCTCTCCACATTATGAGTGGAAAAGGCATACTAGATGGAGATGGAAATTCATGTTGCTCAGCACCCTGATGGTACTACATCAATTTCAACCCAAGATATGAGGATGTGAGCCAAGGCTACCAGAAATGGGATCTCACTTTGGGAGCAGGACTACTCCCATTTCTAACTCTTTTCTCTTTCTCTGTCCCCACAGTAGAAGGTGGCCTTACAACACAATGTTATTCAACTTGATGCAAGTTGGAGAAGAGAACATCTCAGGCAAACCTCTGCCTAGAAGTGTTGCAGATGGAATTCAGAAGATTCTTTTCCTGAGTGAAGGCGTAGAGGGTCTTAAAATTCCCTCTGAGCTTTTCCATCGTTGCCTGAACACTGCAATTCTAACACATCTCAGGTCACAGGGGCAGGATGATGGTTTGGACCAGAGGACAAAATGAAACCAACAGCTTTACCTTCGTTTCGACCTCTGGGGCTGGAAATTCACTGGCTCGGGGAAAAAGTAATAGAACAGACGTGATGATCACAGCACCAAGGAATACAAAAATGACAGAGAACCTGGGACCAAAAAGAGAAAGTATTAAAAGCACCGTTTTTTTCTTTTATGAGGGCCAGACTGGCCTTTCCTTGGGGTCAATATTCTATGTTTCAGTCCCTTAACAGAGTCCAGAGACCTGCTGTGTCCACAACCAGCCTCCATCCCAAAGTCTTTCTTCCTAGACGGGTACCAGCTGTGTGCATTCCCCTTTATTCTGGGAAATTCCTAACAGCGGGAATTCATAGTTTTCATTTGTGCTTCTGCATGAAGTCATTAAGAAAACACAACAAAGCAATCCCTCCCCATTCCCACTTAGGATACTTTAGCAAATTCTTAATTCTCTGCTTCCTATTGACATTAAAATGGAGTGTCCAGAATGAAACTCTATTTTCAGGTTCCGTTAGTAGCCTAACTCTGTTCCAAGTCAATGCCAGGTACAGAAGGCCAGTTAAACCCACTGAAGGCTTCTTTCGTTTCCCTGGGTCAGGCCTAGAGCCTTAGAGACTGGACCAAGCAAGTGCCATAAATCTGAACAATTAAGAAAAACTCCCACGTTCAACCCCAAGAGATTCAATAGGCAGTGAAAGCAGATTTTCTTGTCATCTCTTGTCTTCCCTGATCTCCTCCATAGTAAGAACTGAAAAATACACTTCCCTTCTCCTCCCACCTCTGCCTCAGAGCATAAATAACACAGTTAGTGCTTATGATAAGAGGTTAAAATGCAACTCATTCAAACTGCCAGTAATTACAAAAATGATCTTCTGAATTCTAAATGTTTAATGAGCGTCAGCGATTTTGCCTCTAATTGCTTTTACCTAGGACTCCCAGCTGGAAAGAATGCCTTACCTAGCTATCCCGGAGGCTCTGGATAACAGCACACACAGCAGCAGCACCAACACCCAGAGCAGGGCTAAGATGAACACGCCAGCACCCACTCCTAGCACTGTGCCAGCCATCCTGGGGAGGAAGACATCATCAGCCTTCACTCTGTCTGGGACCCCTACCCACACCCACTTCTAGCATTTAGACAAATACAGAAAGCCTGACCTCATTATGAGGAAGTTTTTGATGATTGGTGTGTAGGATCACTCACTACAGGTCTTTAATTTTCAAGAATGTCCAGTCCCAGAGTCCCTTAATGGGAACTAGAAATTTAGAACCCAAAGCCTTTCTTTATGGCAGGGACTGAGAGATGGCTTTTCTGCTCCATGTGTGTAATTTTAAATTTGGTCTCTGAATTCTACTTTAACTTCTTCCCCAAGCCACAGTAGAACACTAAACTCTCCCTTGCTATAATATCCTAACTAAGGTCTGTTAAAGGCACAAGGGCCTGCGAGTTCCAGGGCCAAAGCAGAAGTTGAAGCTCTTAGGTTAAAATCATGGGATGAACTTTGACTCACCAGGCAATCATGAGACAGAAATTTCCACTCTACTGTTGAGTGCTTATTTGCAAAAGGAAGAAAAATTCCAGTCCTTAAAGAACAACCACCATCACTACTTCTGAACATTTACTATGTGCTAAATACTTTACAAATGTATCTCATTTAATCATGGCAATAAGCTTTGGAGGGAAGTATTATATGTCCATGTCTCAGAAGGAGTCAGTGCAGTATAACTGCAAAGGGGGATGTGCTGTTTTGCTAATTAGTGCCTTACAACAAGAGAAATTCGTTCTCTCGCTGTTCTTGAGATGAAAAGTAAAAAATAAAGGCATAAGTAAGTCCACACTCCTAATAAAGGATTTAGAGGAGGATCCTTCCAGGCCTCTTCCAGCTTCTGGTGGCTCCACATGTTCCTTGACTTGTGACTCACAACTCTAGTCTCTGTTCCTGTCTTCATGTGGCCTTCTCTGTCTCTTGTCTTCTGGCTGCTCATTATAAGGGCATCTTCACTGAACTTCAGGACCACTCAAGTAGTCTAGTATGATTTTATCAAAGCTCCTTAACTTAATTACATCTACAAAAACACTTAATAGGTTCACATTCATATATTTAGGCTGTGGACATAACTTTGGGGGGCTACCAATCAACCCACTACAGGTCAACACCATACTACCATACTTGCCCTGATTTTCTTTCCAGTACCAGAGACAAGTCTTAAGCAACAGATTCTTCCTTAGCTTGCTGGTTTTCTTTACCTGATATTTAAATGTCACAAAAATTTATCTATGAGAGGTTTTGTTAAAAAGTTATTAGAAAAGAAGCTCTAAGCATGAACTACTTTTAAAACACAGTAATTCAATCAACATTCATGATGTCCCTACCATGTAAAGAACCATTCTACAAGCTGGAGATGACAAAGGTAGGTGAGAAATCTCTCCCAGCAGAAGCTTTAGGTCTTTTGGAGAATACCATCACATAAACAACTGCCCATGTTACATTCTGTTAAGTAGCAAAGTACAGCAGGAACTGGGATATTGAGAAGGGTTACAAAGGAGGGACCTTGCACAGGAACTCTCTGGAAAGAATCAGTAAGGCAAGATGAGGAGTAAGGGGACAGGCCTCTCTAACCTCACTGGGGAGCATTATGCCCCTCCCAGGCACCTCATGGATGTTGTCCCAACTACTCCAGCAAGCCAGTGTTTCCCCATCTCTATGTCTTTGTACTTGGCTATTTCTAAAGCCTGTAACTAACCCTCAATCCCCAACAATCCCTCTACTATTTGTAGGGCTAGACTCTCTTCATGGTTCCCATCTTGGCTTCCTCAGAGAAGGAATAGCACTTCCTCTGAGAGGTCTTCCCCGACTACCCTGTCTAAAGTAATCCTCCCAAACAGTGATTTTTCATCTCCCTAGTTCCTTCAGAATACTTGTCATTAATTGTAGTTAATTTTTTCTCTATGTGGGGAGGTACTGGGGATTGAACCCATACTGAGCCACATTCCTGGCCCTTTTTATTTTGAGACAGGGTCTTACTAAGTTGTTGAGGCTGGCTTTGAACTCACAATCTTCCTGTCCCAGCCTCCAGTCACTGGGATTACAGGCATGTACCACTCCACTTGGTTAACTTATTTATTCATTTTCTTACAAGTTTATTTTTTGTCTCTCCAACTAGAATAATAAATTCATGAAGGCAGAAACTTTATCTTTTTCACCTGGTATCCCCAGTTTGTAGCTCAGAGGTTATATGGAATAAATTTGTTTGATGAATAAATAAAGCAGTGCTAACAAATCTGAAAATCAAGTGAGGGAGTAATAAGGTCATATCAAGGTTTAGAAGGATGACCAGATAACTTCTGGTCCATGCACTGGACAGTACTAACAAAGGGAACAACAGTGAACACGTGGAAATGCTCAATAAGACAAATTAAAAAGAATTTAACAAATACACAAAGCAATGAAGGAAAATCCTTAAGTACCTTAAACAAAAAAATATAACTCAAAGCCTGAGTGGTTAGTGAGGACTGAGCACTGAGACCTACAGGGGTGCTGGCAGCAGATACAGGCCTTCAGAGTGGTCCTGTCCTGGCCAGATGAGATCTCAGGCCCATGATGCAGAGAACTAGAACTAAGAACAATATATCATGCTGGGCCCTCAAAGAGCTAATGGTTTTTGAAATATGGTCTGAAAAATTGCTAATGATTTCAAAGAAATCTAGACAAGTGACTCAGGCCACAAGTGAAAAAGACTAGCCCAAGAGAAATCTGAATCCTTACCTGCATTTAAATATAGAGTTCAAGTACAATACTAATGTGGTATGGGAATCTCAGTAAAAAAGATTAACATAAAAACTAGACTAAAAGTAAGGTACCTAAAGGATCCCAGCTGAGATCATCTATTAGGATGCCACCACAGATGTGCATATAAGACACAAGAGTGGATTTAATGAGGTTTTCAGACTTAAAAAGACTGAAATGGAATTCACCTTGTGGGAGGCCGACATAGCATGTAACTAGTGTTTGCTTCCCTTCCTGGTTGGCTGAGGCACAGTAGGTCACCCCGTGATCTGGTTGCTTTTAAGTAAGGGAAGATGGTGGCCCCAATCTTGAGGGTAGAGACAACGCAAATGTGTCTTCCTGCATGGGCGTGCTTTCCTACTAGCCCCATGGGTTGAGCTATGTTCACCTGTTCCTTTGTGATATTACCCCTTGTCTAGTTTGGGATAGAATGTTCCATGAAAATGCCCTTTTGTGTGTCCCCTTCTCTTACTCTTGCCATCACCCCCTTGGGTGTGGCCTTCCTAGATATCAATCAACCTGCTGACAGCAGACATCATGAAGTTAGACTCAACCCCCTGAAGCCTGACCCCCTTGCTTCATTTGAATAGCTTCTTCTAAATAAAAGGGGTCAGCACGCGCTCCCTCGCTCCCTCGATCTGCGGACCCTTAAGGTCAGAGGAGCTGTCACAGCACCCCCAAAGAAAAAGGTATTTCTGTCTTGTGTGGTTATTTTGCACAGCCCAGTTCCCCTTAAGTGAACCCTGAGTGTTTTAGTCACATGGATCACGACAGGTAGTGTCCCTGGGTGGGCAGGTTTGAGGGTTTAAGTCCCAGGAATGCGACACACAGATCCTCACTGAAAGAGCTACTTAGGAATGTACTCCAACAAAAAGGAAAATGAACCAAGAAAGATATAAGGAAAAATGGTGAGAAAGACATTAGCAAAAATTGACTATAAATATTCCTGCAATGATAATGACGACTAATTTTCAAGGGGTTAAAAATGAGAAAATGAAAATATTACTCAACAGTTACATGGAAGGTGAGAAAGAATAGTTCAAAGTAAAAGCAGTCAATATATATTACTTGCTCTGAAGGAGGAGTTAATGATTAGTTAAGTTTTACTAAGCAAAAGATAGATATTTGAAGACACATAGGCACATACTAAATAACAGAAAGAGAATGAACAACTTCCACACGAGTGAAAAAAAAATAATAAAGGAAGAAAACAAGAGGGGGTGATGGCAAGGGGTAAAAAGGAAGGAAAATTTAAAAATATAAGATAAAACTGAAAATTACAACAAAAAGTATAGTAAATACAAACTTATATTAATTATATTAATTATACTTGATTATTAAAGAATTCTCATGCTAGATTTAAAAAAAATAAAAACATCTCTTTATAAAAGCTACACAAAAAGCATAAAGAGAGGTTCAAAATAAAGAGACTGAAAAGAAACATTAACAAAACAATACTAGGGGGAAAGTGTATTGGGAAATGTTTAATAAGTGTAGAGTTCTACTTTTACAAGATGAAAAATTTCTGGAGATCTGTTTCATGATAATGTAAATATACTACACTAATGAACTGTACACATAAAAATGGTTAATATGGTAAATTTTATGTTATGTGCTTTAAATCACAATTTGGAAAAACAAGTGAAACAAAAATATAAGTTGGTAAAGCAATATTAGTATCAAGAATATATGTTAAGCTTGAAAAATATTAATAATAATAATAATCACAGGCTGGGCTTGTAGCTCAGTGGTAGAAAGCTTGCCTAGCATATGTGAGGCACTGGGTTCAATTCTCAGCATCATATAAAAAATACAAGTATTGTGTCCATATACAACTAAAAGTATTTAAAAAAAAGAATAATCTCAAAAGGAATAATTTGGCAAAAAGAAACAACTTGAAATAAATATGAACCTAACATAAGTGACATAAATGACATAAATATGAACCTAACATAAATGACATAACATTACAATAAACAAAGCCACAAATTTAGTGGAAGATTTTAATGTAACTATCTTAGAATCTAAAAGATCAAGCAGATAAAAAATAAAAATAAATACTTGACAAAGAGGTTATCCAAATGACCAATATGTGAAAAGCAGTTCAACTTCATTAGTCATCAGGAAATTGCAAATAAAAACCAAAATTCATTACTCCTACATACCTGCAAGAATGGCTGAAATGAAAATGACAGACAACATAAGTGTTAGTAAAGATGTAGATTAATTGGAACCCTCAAACACCATGGTAAGAGTATAAATTGTTATAACTGCTTTGGAGACTACTGACAGTATCGATCAAAACTGAAAATTCATGTCCCCCAGATCTAGCTCTTCTATTCCCAGTTGTATTCTAACAGAGATGCACACAGAAGTTCAAAACCCATGTACAAGAAGTTCATTCCAACCCTATTTGAAATAGCTGAAAAAAGAAACAACCCACATGTCCACCAATACAAAGGATAAATATGTTTCATAATTCTTTCATACAATGCAATAGAATAAAGCAATAAGAATGAACTTGGATGAATTTCACAAATACTAAGTGTAAAATGACAGAGGCAAAAAAGTTTATACTGTTTGATTCCATTTATATAATGTTCAAAGAAAGTTCAAACTACTTTGGGAGGTTAGAAGTCAAAGAGTATGTTTTCCATTCAGAAAGTAGTGACTGGAGGGAGCTGAAAGAGGTTCTGGAGTGCTGATAAAATTTTGTTTATTGATCTGGGTGTGGGTTACCTGGATTCACTCATTTTGGTAAACTGTACCTAGCTATACATTTAGGATGTGTACACTTTTCTGTATGTGTGTTATACTTCACTAAAAGGTTTCTTTTGAAGAATCTTAAGAGACATATCAATCAAATGCAATATATGGACTCTGTTTGGGTCTTGATTCAAAAAAGCCAGTATAAAAAAGAAAACCTTTTAAAAGATGACTGGAGAAATTTCAACAGTATCTGGATATTTGATGATATTAGGGAATTATGTTTTTTTTAAGTGAATTAAAAAAAAAAAAAAGCTATTGGGCTGGGGATGTGGCTCAAGCAGTAGCATGCTCGCCTGGCATGCGTGCGGCCCAGGTTCGATCCTTAGCACCAAATACAAACAAAGATGTTGTGTCTGCCGAAAATTAAGAAATAAATATTAAAATTCTCTCTCTCTCTCAAAAAATAAAAGCTATTGAAGGCTCTTTAGGATATACACATATATACATGTAACACATCAGAGAATAGAAAATGTGACTAGGAGCTTCATATTCTCTGGGGGAGGGGAAGTGAAGTAGCTAACATGAAATAAGACTGGTTGTGAGCTAGTTGTTGAAACTGGGTGAAGAGAGTGTTGATGTTGGCTATACTATTTTTATACTTTTGAATATATTGGAAACCTTCACACTAGAAAGATATGTGTATGTATATGTATGCAAGTGTGAATAAATGTAACAAAAGATTTGTAAGATTATTGTAGTTAAAATTATAAAATCTTATTAAAGATCGTTTTCTAAGAAGCACCTGGACAGAGAAATAAAGTAGCCCTGAATAAAAAAATAACCCATGTTGCTAGATGGTTCAATTCAAAGATTTCAATTTTCTTTAACCTATACATTTAATGCAATTCTAACCAAAATCTAAAAATAATTTTTGTAGAACTTGAAAATGAATCCTAAATTCATATGAGTAAAAACCCAAGAATAGCCAGAACAATTTTGAGAAGTAGAATGGCAACTTGCCTTTCTTGTTACCAACTGCCACAAGACACATTATAAAACCAAGGTAATTAAAACAGTGTGATAGTGGCACAAAGACACATGGACCAGCGGCATGAAATTGAGAACCTAGAAACAGATCCATGCATTTGTCAGAACTTCATGCAGGAAGGAGTTGGCTCTGCGATTCAGTGGGTAAAGGATTTCATAGCTGGTGGTGGGACAAATGATTATCCAACCGGAAAATAATAAAACTAGACCTCTACATTATATCATATACAGAAGCCAATTTTAAATGGAACTAATTCATAATGAAATAGCATATGTTTAAAAATATGAATGTTCAGGCTGACTACACTAGAATACATAATGAAGTACAGTAGTCAGATGCTCGCACCTAAACTTAGAATCACCATGAACGCAAAAGCTACAAATGCAGACTATGCAGGTGTGTTGTGCTGGCAACTCAAATACCACGAGCTGTGCTGCCTTTAGTTATGTGATTTTTCTAGAGTGAGGAACAACTCTTGTTAAAGTTCCAAACCACAAATTAGTATAATTTTCCCTTGATTTACATTAGAGTTTCATTCCTGGAAATTTTACTATATTAAACTGTGCCAAAAAATACATTATGTTAATATGAAAAATAGAGTTAGGTTCTGGCCCCAGATAATTAGAATCGAATACCCTGAGGAAAAGTAGTATAGGATGGAGGACAATTCTTTACCTGATGACTGTCCCGTGCATTATGGAACACCTTGCATCCCCAGCCCTGCTAGGCAAATTCCAATACTTCCTTACAAAGATAATAACTAAATATGTCTACACAAAACCCAAAATACCCCCAATCCAAGGCAGTACCACCTCCATGAAGAACTAGTGTTTTGGAAAAATTCTTGGGTCATCACTACGACTTTATTCTTGATAGCATAACAACAGGAAAAAAAAAACGCCCTGAAAAGTTTATCAATAAGGAAATAAATACAATATTTTATATTCATAATGAATACTTCAAATGAATGAACTTGATCTATATGTACTGCTATAAATATAACTAAAAACCAATGTTGAGTGATAAAAATTGCAAATGAAATCCACAATATACTATTTGTAGTTTAAAATTAAAATAAACTTTAATAATACATATTGCTTAGGATGTACATATATACAACAAAAGCATAAAAACATGAGCATTAATGATATAATTTCAGGAGAGTATTTGCCTCTCTGGGGAAAGGAAGGAAAGAGCAGAGGAAAGGAAAGAAAAGTGATCTAAACTAGATCTATGAGGTTTTTGTTTCTTTAAAATTAAAAGCTTAAATAGATAAGCCAGAAAGTGAATATTTATTAATCTAGAACACAGGTATTTGATATACTATTAAATGTAATATTCTCAAGTTTAGTTTTAAAAAGTTAACTGATGACAGAGTACAAAGAGAGGTGATGAGGATATAAGCTTTCCTTGGTTGTGGAAATAGAAAATCTAAGGAGAAGATTTTAGAAATTACTCATATTTCTGAGTTTGGTTGATTGGGCTGATACCTCTAAGAAAATAACTACTTAAGGTTAATTGGTGCTCTTTATGATATTGCACAATAACCTGTAAGACCTAGACCAACTCTAACATCTTAGAATACAGGATAATGGTAGTTAAAATTGAATTATTTGAAACATATCCCTTTAATATCCCACAGAAACTTAAAAACTCAGGAGACACTGGGTTCTATAGACACTGGGTTACAGCTTTCAAGTATGAGATAAATACTAATACTAGAATTAGCTATTCTGAGAATGGGGTTCATAACTTTATAACCAAACTGCACATTTTCTTACCATATGTAGAAAGGAAGGAGTTGGGTATACTAAAGAAAGATGTTGTAGAGAAATGAACATCTAGGCATTTCATTTTGTTAATTCAATATGAGAATAATACTTTTGCTCATTTCCTCTATTGGAATAGTTAAATTATTATTTTTGAGTCAGATATGATAAAAAGTAAAGTTTTTATTGAATATTCAGGACTTCTTCAAATCTTGGAGAATTGATGGTTTAGTCACCCTGATTTCAAGAGTAAGTCCATTTACTGAATAAATGTGGCATGTACTTATGTATTCATTTATTTTGCAGTAATGGGGGTTGAACCTAGGTCCTCCTCTCACAAGCACTCTACCACTGAGCTATATCCCTAGCCCATTCTATTTTGAGACATGAAGCCTTGACCTTACAATGCCCAGGCTGGACTTGAACTGTGGATCCTCTTGCCTCAACCTCCTGAGTTGCTAGGATTACAGGTATATACCATAAGCCCAGCAATATCACTGGGCTAAATTTGAACACTGTTCAGTAGCTGACAACAGGACCTAATATAGGATCAATTTTTTTCCCCTCTATGTTGATGCTGTGAGATCTTTTTTTTTTTTTAAAGAAAGTTTCTTCAAACCCTTTTGGATGTATTTGTATTTGTCATTTATCTAAGGTTGGTTCTACATGCCCTTTCAGAGAAATCTAATACAGAAGCACACTGTGAGGAGACTGACCCTAGTTTATTAAAAATACAGCACCCAGCACTAAGTTGAAAATCTTGAGTGAGAATACTAATGGCTATTATAAGGTGACTTACTGTCCAGGACAAATATGGACTCCGTAGAGAGTAATAAAGCTTAATAGCTGCTGGTGATGGGTGATACCTCACCCATTGCCCGATTTTCACGTGGACTCAAGCCCTTAAAAACAACAGAAGAAAACAATGGATTACAGGAGTGAATGGCCCTTCAGAAGGAATCCTTTTCAATTTTTTCTATAGCTTGTCCCAAACACTTAAAATTAATCAGAGAACTTTCACATTTTTATTTTTCTACTTTAAATATTTATCATTTGAATTTTAAAATATTAAGATATCGCCTCCAGCTTTATTAAGTCCCATGCACGTCTGGGACAAAAATCAATTGTCAAGCTACTTAAATGCCACGGATGTGACGTCCACTCTTACTTAACACACTGTTAGAAAGGCGGCGAGGGGGGGGGCGGGGGTCGTCCATGGATTCTGATCCTGTCCTTGCACTTCTTTCCCGGTCACGGTTGCGTTTTGAAAGTGACAGAGATTCAGTCCGCTAGCTCCATCACCCATCAGCTACCAGCACTGCAGCAGGGAAATACCGGGCTGCTAGGAGCTCCTCCACTCTCCCCAGCCCGGCTGCTGCTTCAAACTGGCAAGAGGAAAAAGAGTGCCCGCACGTCTCATCAGAATGCTCACCTGACTACCTCCTAGCAGTTGGAGAGGGATTACGGTTTCAGACAAAAGGAAAACGAAGGCACTGACATTTTACTTTCTTAAGTGCATGATACAGAAAACAGCCCCTCCTTCTCGGCATTCTATTAAGAATTTATTAGCCGCCGGGTCTTGGGCCCAGACCCGCGGTAAGGGTAGTCTGTGATGTCCGCGCACCGCCTGCCCACACTGTTTTCCAGACTCTGCAGCCGGAGTCTCCATCCTTCTCGCTACTCCGCATCTGTCCGGCTTTCCTCACCGCCGCTCTCCTCATTGGGTTCCTGGGTTACCCCCACTTCCCCGGACCCGACTCATACCTCAAAGTCCCGCTGGTTCCAGTCCGCCGAGGCTTTGATCTACTTAGAACGAATCACAAGTGGGCTTTCATTCAGGCGATTTCGGATTCGCTAATCAGTGCTGCTCTTTCAACGCCCAGCTTTCCTCTCATTAGCTTACACTTGCCGCGACTCCAGGCAACGTCAAGTGTAGTGGGTGGGCACATTGTCCTCAGTTCCGCATTTCCATTGGTCGGTGCTGGTCGGTTTGGGGCCTTGGCTCAACTTCGATTGGATAGATTCGCCTCACCACGCCCCATACCGCTGTCAATCATATTATTCTCTCTAACTGGACCATTGGTTTGTGTTGCCTGAGGGCGGGCTTTTGGACCGGAGAGCGGTTTCTCCAGGTTTCCTTCGCGGTCTCCATGGAGACTGTACAGCCCCGCGGTGAAGCAGCTAGGACAAGTAGCCCGCATCTCCAAGTTCCGAGACCTGTACAGATATCAGTGCAAGTTCCGCAGTCTGATACACCTCTCAGTCCCCTACCCACTGATTCGGGCGGGGCGCAGGTTTTGAGGGTTGCTTCTAGGCCTAGTCAGAAAGAGTCGCTAAAAATCCGCTTGGCGGGAAGTGAGTCCAAAGCGCTAGTTGTAATAACGTCGCGTTTCATTTATCCTTACCTTGACTTCTTTTTTTTTTTTTTGGCATTATAGCCGGTAGCTACTTCGAAGTAGACTGAGGCAAGGGTCATTCTACCCAAGTCCACAGACTGGGAAAGAGATGTAGGATCAATCAAGTAAATCCTTTGCTGCCGCTCTTCCAGGCAGCTGCAACTGGGATTGGTCCACGCTTTTAGCAGACTGCTGTTACCTAACTGCCAGCCAGAATTGCCCATAGACCCAAAGAGTCATCCATCAGGCCAATTAAAGGAACCAGGAGAAAGTCTGTGTGCACCACTGTGGAATCAGGAAGGGAAAACAAACAAACAATACCAGCCGGACACGCTGGCGAACGCCTGTAATACCAGCGGATCCGGAGGCTGGTGAGTTCAAAGCCAGCCTCAGCGAAAGCGAGGCACCAGGCAACTCAGTGTGACCCTGTCTCTAAATAAAATACAATAGAGCTGGGGATGTGGCTCAGTGGTCGAGCTCCCCTGAGTTCAGTCCCCGGTACCAAAACAAACAACAAACAAACAGTACCAAATTTGAGAGCAAGTGTTTAAACCTTTGTCCTTAGACAAAACTATGGAAACACCATAAATCAACTATTCAATCTGAATTAGGGAATTCAACTCCTGGATCAGCTTTCTGAATGAAACGGAAGATGGGTGAATTTCATTGATTGCCGACATAAAGTTTATTCTGTCAGTGGTTCATTTGCAGTGTCATTAACTAACAAATGATTTCTTATGAGTTTAACATCCTAACCTTAGTTGGTCCAGTGAGGAGCTCTGTGGTTAAAAAAGCCATTATTTTGATTAATTCATTTCATTGGACTTGAGTGTAAACTGTAGAATATGCATCATTAGAGACTGTGAAGATACTCAAGAAATAAGATACAACGCCTTAATGATGTTTGGGTGGTTTTCTAATGTTAGGTTGAGAACACAGGAAACAACTAGCAAGCATTTTAAAGCAAGATATAACAGTGGGTCAAAACTAATTTATAGCTCATTACTCCAAAAGGTAATGATACCTCATGTTTCAGAGCATTTGCAGTTTTGTATTATTGTATTTTTGTTCTTGTATATTCCAAGGAAATTTTGCTTTGACTGGAGTTAATGTGGGTGTGTCTGCATGATAGAGCAAGAACAAAGCTGGACCCTTGCTTATGGGTAGAAATCGGAAAGATGTAATAGAGATGGAAAGGAATTTAGGGAGAAGAAATAGTTTGAACAAGGAGGCTAAAAGAAGAATGAGCACTGAATATTTGCAGAATAACATGGAAACAAATAGTGGAAAATAATCTGAAGCTAAACTGGTCAGAATCAGTTTTTGGGGAAAGTGGTCAAAAGTCTGAGATTGAGAATGTTAAGTTCCTTCTACTTCTAATGATTAAATTTAAATTATAAATTAAGGATGGGCATGAATGAGGAGGCATTCCCAGTTTCTTACATCTTCTTGAATGGACATAACATTTCTAAGTTTTCTCTCCCCAAAGAAGGGATTTTTATCCCAAGCTTCTCCTACATCTTACCTCTTAACTGGGTGTAGGTATTTGTTTTCTGGTTCAATGATATGAAATTGAGAGAAGTTCTGTCACCATCTTCTGCCATCTCTGAATTGAAGTTGTGTGCCCCAGTCTAGAGGAGATTGATTACTTGATCATACAACCTTTCTCTTTTTAAAAATTGTCTTCTGTATGTTTTACTGTACCTCTTCACATCACTCCCCATCTCAGCTGTATAGAATGTGTGTGTAGGTACTTGTAGAATGCACACAGGTATCATATGCATGTCATTTTATTAAATGGTAATTTTCTTCTCTCCTTAAAAAACAAGTAAAAGCAACAAAAAGCAATGTTTATTTCCTTCTACTCAGTGTAAAATCATTTGTTACTCTGCCTGATAGAGCTAGAAGGGCAACAAAAAGAGGTCACTAGGGTTATGAAGTGTGGGTAATTTCAAGAGAAGATGTGAAGCTTTCTTGCTCTTTTTAGAGTTATCAAATTTTTTTCAGCCAGGGAGTTCTGAATGTTATGTATATATTTTCTCATGTAAGATTATTTCAGCATTTTGTAGGTCTAAAAGTGTACCAAAAAATGAAGTAACTTTTATTTATTTTTTTCTGTAAATTATTATTTTTTTAAGTGAGAGATGAGAGAGAGAGAATTTTAATATTTATTTATTTTTTTTTTTTTTAGTTTTCGGCGGACACAACATCTTTGTTTGTATGTGGTGCTGAGGCTCGAACCCGGGCTGCACGCATGCCAAGCAAGCGCGCTACCGCTTGAGCCACATCCCCAGCCCCAGAAGTAACTTTTATTAGGCTGACGCTCCAAAGCTACTACCATTCCATTCTGCTAACTGGGAAACTGAGTAAACAGAAATTTCCCCCCAGTACAGTGTTCATAGTGAAGCCAAGTTACTGACTTTCTGACACCACCCAAAATAACCACCAAGATTTTTTAGACCATAATATTTACCTGAGGTTATGGATCAGGGTTCAACAAACTATGGTTTGTGGGCCTAATCTGGCCTGACATCTATTTTTGGTATGATTTGCAAACAAAGGACAACTTTTTACATTTTTAAATAGTTGGGAAAAATCAAAAGAAGAAAACTACTTGTGACATATGAAAATTAAATAGAATTTCACAATCCATAGTGACGTTTTATTGTAATACAGGCATGGTCATTTTTTTTTTTTTTTTTTGGTAGTCTATGTCTACTTTCTCTGCAACAGCAGAGTTAGGCAGTTGCCACAGAGACTGTAGGGTCCATAACTTAAATATTCACTTTCTTTAAGAAAAATTTGATTCTTACAATCTTAGACATCCCTAAATAAATCAGTTCTGATGGATTGTTATAACTGAAATACTTTAGAAAAAAAATAGTGTTAATTTTTAGAAACTCACATTGATGAGGATAAGTTACTTCTTTCCTAAAATTACATAATCAGTAAATAAAGCTGGTACTAGATGCTGGGCTCCATTGGTCCAAAGTTTTTTTCATCCATGCTATGACTTTTCTCATGCAGAGATTACCTTATTTAGAATTGGGTGGGTGATATATATATATTTGGAGGCAAGAAAAATTCATCAAAACCTTTCCTAATATTAATCTCATGTCTCATTCATACTAACACAGTGCAGTGTATATTAATTAAGGAACACTTGGATATTCATGATTTATTTCAGCTATTTTGAGTTATCATTATTCCATTTTTCTCACTTCTCAAAAAGTGTTTGCCCTATGTTTTAGTTAACTCTTCATGACTATAACTAGACACCCAAGACAATCAACTTAAAATGAAGAAAGGTTTATTTTAGCTCATTGTTTTAGAGATTTCAGTCCACAGTTGGTTACATGGCTTTTGGACCTGCATTGTGACAGCACATCATGATGGGGAGTGGCTGCTGAAGCAAAGCTACTCACCTCACAGGGGTTGGGAAGCCAAGAGGAATGGGCTAGAATCCCAATATCTCCTTCGAGGACAAACCCTCAATGATCTAATTTCCTTCCACTAGGCTCCACTTCCTGAAGGTTGCACTACCTACCAATATGCCATGGGCAGGGGACAAAACCATCCATGTGCCTTTAGGGGACATTTATCCAAACCTTAGAAGCCATCATGAAAAACTTACTTTCCATCTTTTCTCTTTTTAAAATTATTTCTTTCCTCTGTTTCAACAAAGGAATTTGGAGGTGAGTTTCTATTCCAACCTAAGATAGTTAAAGGAGGTAAGAATGATTGGAAAATCACAACACACACATTTTTTACTCCAGCCTGTTGGATAAGCCATAAATGTGGAGGGGAGAGTATATACAAACCTGCTGAATTGTGAGGCTTAATGTGTATGTGTGTATGTGGGCTTTTCTGGACAGACTATTCATAGCTTTTTATAAAACTTGTAAGGGTCCATGACCCTAAGAAGATTTTGAATTATTGGATGTAAAGTTGATGTGTTTAGGGGAGAAAGCTGCTCAAATGGGTGGTGGTGGAGACTGATCCAGGTTCTGGGGACTGTAAGGTTTTAGCTGACATCAGGGGAGAGCTCCCTGCCCAGTCGCATCAGTCCAAAAGTTTTCTCCTCTCTGCCACTCAGAGGTGCTAAAAATTCATCAGATTCACAGAATAGTTGAACTCAGATGATGATAAAATCCTAGTATAATTCTCTCCAAAGAATGTTCTGATTAATAGAAACTGCAGAGGACTAATTTCATGAAAATAGCAAATGGGATTGTTTCAGCTGAAGCAAGCTGGGAGAGTTGGTGCTGACGCCAAGCAGGAAGGTGCAAACAATCCCATTGTGCAGAGCTGACAGCTCCAATCTTGCTGCTTATTTATTAAATGTCTTTCCGCTGTAAATT